TAGGAGGAGCTAATCGGATCTCTATTTAAATGTATCTAAATGAAACTAAACTATGCACAGGCATCATGGCTGGTTCTAATCGATCCGGCGACTTGGCTGACGCTCAGAAGAGCATTCCCATTGGAACGATATGTGCCATTTTGACCACCAGTACCGTCTACCTATCCAGCGTCATGTTCTTTGCCGGCACCGTGGATAATCTCCTTCTGAGGGATAAGTGAGTAGAGAAAACTTTCGCCTTCATCGGAAACATATTGCTCACCCTTTCTTGTATTCCCAAGATTCGGTCAATCAATCGGTGGCAAGCTGGTTGTGGCAAACATTGCCTGGCCAAATCAGTGGGTCATATTGATTGGCTCCTTCCTGTCCACCCTGGGAGCTGGTCTTCAGAGTCTTACTGGTGCTCCCCGTCTGCTGCAGGCGATAGCCAGAGATGAGATTATCCCGTTCCTGGCTCCGTTCGCCAAGTCCTCAAGCCGTGGCGAGCCCACCCGTGCTCTGCTCCTGACCATCTGCATTTGTCAGTGCGGTATTCTTTTGGGTAAGTCCTTATCATGTTTTTCGCCTTAGAGATTCTAATACCACCTTTTATACCTTCAGGCAACGTGGACTTGCTAGCCCCCTTGCTGTCCATGTTCTTCCTTATGTGCTATGGCTTTGTCAACCTGGCTTGTGCCGTGCAAACCCTGTTGAGAACCCCCAACTGGAGACCACGCTTCAAGTTCTATCACTGGAGCTTGTCGTTGATCGGCCTGACCCTGTGCATATCCGTCATGATCATGACGTCCTGGTATTTCGCCCTCATTGCAATGGGAATGGCCATTATTATCTACAAATACATTGAGTACCGGGGGTGAGTGTGACTATTTGAAAAATAAATAAACTCGTGCTAAATCGTTTCAAATTGTAGCGCTGAAAAGGAGTGGGGTGATGGCATTCGTGGAATGGCTCTCACTGCCGCCAGGTACTCGCTCCTACGTCTGGAGGAAGGCCCACCGCATACGAAAAATTGGCGTCCCCAAATTTTAGTGCTATCGAAGCTCAACGACAATTTATTGCCAAAGTACAGGAAGATATTCTCGTTTGCCACCCAGCTGAAAGCTGGCAAGGGATTGACGATCTGTGTGTCTGTGATAAAGGGCGACCACACAAAGATATCCAACAAAGCCGTGGATGCCAAGTCCACGTTGCGCAAGTACATGACCGATGAGAAGGTGAAAGGATTCTGCGATGTCCTTGTCGCCCAACAAATTGGCGAAGGCCTCAGTTCAGTGTAAGGTCATGGTGATGTCTTTATTGAAAAATGTAGCATTGAAAATGTGATTGTTTTGCAGCATCCAAACCATTGGACTGGGTGGCATGAAGCCCAACACAGTCATTATTGGCTGGCCTTATAGCTGGCGGCAGGAAGGTCGCAACAGCTGGAAAACGTTCATCCAAACGGTCCGGACCGTGGCCGCCTGTCACATGGCCCTCATGGTGCCCAAGGGCATCAACTTCTATCCAGAGTCAAACCACAAAGTAGTATTTACCCCAGACACTCCATAACGCATTCTTTATCTACATTTCCATGTCCAATTCAGATTGGTGGCAACATTGACATCTGGTGGATTGTCCACGACGGTGGGCTGCTCATGTTGCTGCCCTTCCTGCTGAAGCAACATCGCACTTGGCGCAATTGCAAGCTGAGGATCTTCACTGTTGCTCAAATCGAAGACAATTCAATTCAAATGAAGAAGGATCTTAAGACATTCCTGTACCATCTCCGAATTGAAGCCGATGTCGAAGTGGTTGAAATGGTAGGCGATACTAGTGATACTACACATTCTAAAAGCACTTACAAATACTCTTTCCCAAACAGAACAACAGTGACATCTCTGCTTACACCTACGAAAGGACACTCATGATGGAGCAGCGTAATCAGATGCTAAGAGCATTAGGTTTAAATAAGAAAGAAAACTCCAAAGTGGTAAGTAATGTTTAGGCTTTAAGAAGCCTATTGATTCACGGCATTTGTAATACTTGAAAGTTAAAAACATCTAACTCTCATTGTTATTTGATTTTTACGACCATACTGCACATTTATCCTTGGGTTTACTTTAATCTTTATTAGCAAATAGTTATTATATATTTGTTCCGTTCTAATTAAGTTGAGTAACTATTAAGAGAAAACCATCATCTTGACCTTTGTTTCTCATGTATTCTTGCGAATAATCATATATGTAACTATATTAGAGAACCAAATTAAAAACCTAACAATTTATATATTTATTGAAAATCAAAAGGTTCAGACTATAATGGACTTTAAGGAAACTCCCAGTGATAATAAAATGTCTTTGGTAAAGAGTATAAACAGATTGAATATACATATATCCAGATACAAACATATTATTCCCCCTGACTGTGTTCAAATCAACTCATCGGTGCAGCAGCAGCATGTGTGTGATCCATCTTCATCCCCATACTACATACATCATCAACTCCTATGTGTTGTTGTGTCAATGTACCCTGTTTTAATGTTCCCACTCTCTTCTATCTGTTGTAACTATCTATCGAAATTGTAAATTACTCTCCACACAATCTATTGGTCATGCTTTAACAGTAGTAGCCTTTATCAGCAGAGAAACTTCCGACCATATTATATCATTAGAATATCTTTAAATTACGGATGCAATTGAGAATTTAAATTTAAAATCAACTACAAAAGAGTATAATAGTATTTAATATATTATGTACCTTCTAGGGTATTATAATTTTAGTCAGACGCTCGTAACATAGTGAAGGAGTCATTTCCGACCCTATAATCCATATATATTATTGATCAGCATTAACAGCTGAGTCGATCTAGCCATCTCCGGTTGAAAAATAAATTTTCGGATTTTTTTCAAAATTTGAAAATTTTATAAGGGGTTACATCATTAAAATTGGCAAAAATTGGGAAAAATTTTAATATATTAAAATTTTAAATAAAGTTTGCAGATTTATAAGCCTGACAAATACTTGCATAGGACAGCTTTCCGAATTAAAATTAATGCTCTTTTGGCTTAGTTATGAGTTATTTAAACATTGGTTTGTTGAATAAATTGTCATATAAAAATATAAATAAATCCAATCAAAGAATGGAATTATACTTTCAGTCAGAAGCTTGTAACACAGTGAAAGAGTCATTTCCGACCCTATAATCCATATAAATTATTGATCAGCATTAACAGCTGAGTCGATCTAGCCATCTCCGGTTGAAAAATAAATTTTCGGATTTTTTTATTTAAAGAAGACGAATATTTTAAGTTTAGTTATAATCGATTTTCGATTCAATCCTATCATTTGCAAACTGCAAGGGTTTATAAACTTCGGTTTCCCGAAGTTAGTTTCCTATTTTTTTATTTCAAATCCTTAGCGTTTTGTAACCTAAGAACTTTTCAAGTCCTGGTCAGACAAATTCCAAAACGCTTCTGCTTTTAAGTCTTCGGAGTGCCGAAGGTCCTGGTCGTTATAATTTAAAAAGCTTTTTAATAGCTGAAGGCACCGTGACTGCTTAATATAAACTAAATGTTTGTGCTTAGGAATTCGAAAGATATTCCTAGATTCATCGAGGTCAATATATCCGATTTGTAGCTGCTAGGGAAAACCTAATCCTATGAAGATTTATTTATTAGCTTAGTGGTATGCATCCCTCCACTGATATTGGCCCTCTCTAGTCTACTCTTCTGCAACCTACTTTTCTCATACTCCTCATACTGGTAACATTTTCAGGTTCAAACAATTGTAGACCACCATTATGACGCCACCAAAACGGCGTCTAAAGTTCGCTTCGCCGATCCAACTATAGAAGAAATACAACATCACGTATGTACTGCTTTTTAAGATATTTAGTTAACATATTGTCTCTAATCTCTCGTAATTATACATAAGCATACCTATTATAATATAGTAGCATTAAGTAATCCCCATTTAAAGCCATGTAGATGAAAATGAAGAACATTCCTTGGTTAATATTCTTTTTTTGGTTGGCTTTTTACCACCTTTGGTTTTTTATATGAACTCTTCAGTTTTTTGAATCAACGGCACTGTGTCATTCCTAATTTGGGAACTGTTTTAGCCGGGATCTAATACTATTTTCGATTTTACGTCCTCTGCAGGATTCTCAGAACGACGAGAAACGTAACTCAATTGATTTGGATGGTCCTGAGAATGGGGATGCACCCGAGACTACATCTAACAAGGATGAATCGACAGAAAAATCCGACGGAGGAGACTTCAAGTCCAGTGTGAAACCGTACGAATTAGCAGCGATTGTTCGATTTAAGGATATGCTCCTAACAAATTTATATATTTTTCGTTCACAGGGATGAGTTCAATGTTCGTCGCATGCACACAGCAATAAAACTAAACGAGGTTATTGTAGAAAAGTCACAGGATGCCCAGTTGGTCATAATGAATTTACCAGGACCACCTAGGGAAGTGAGAGCGGAGCGTGAAAGCAATTGTAAGATCTTTACCTAATAATACCCCAAAATTGAAACTAAACAGATATTTCTCTCCCATTCAGATATGGAATTTCTGGAGGTATTAACAGAGGGCCTCGAGAAAGTGTTAATGGTACGTGGCGGAGGCCGAGAAGTTATAACAATTTACTCTTAAAGAGAGCATTAATCGCTCAGTTTTATAAGAGTTCGCAACAACACTAGACAAGTTTAAGAATCAATCAAATTTTTAAAAAGAAGGTTATTAATTTGTTATATTCAATCATATGTCCAAATATTTTATTTTTACGTAAATAAAATATCAAAAAATTGTAACAATAATAAATCAAGTGGATGTTCTTGTAAAGGGTTCTCTCTACCATTTTAGGTGCAGCTAAGCAATGCAGATATTATGCGTTGTCTGTGGTTACAGCGCTACTAGTTCATGAGGCTTGAAATTTAAAATGTATCTTTTACATTTACAGATACATATCTGTAGAATCAACAAGGGTGTCTTGTCCAACACTGGCCTGAGCATTTCTCCCGACTTTTGTTATTTCAACCGTAGCGGAGTTGTGCGTTATATTACCTTTCGATGGCTGAGAAATTTATGTGGGCTAAGTAGGCTCGACCGAACGATCGACCGACGTTTCTGAAAAAAAAATATTCTAAATACATTGGAATTACTCTGGAGATCCTCAATCCACAAAGCTATCCAGATTCATGGATTCGGAGGCTAAAGACCTGGACTTGAGAAGGGTTCGTATTGTCTGGAACTGCAGGCCTTTCTGTTTATTTTGAACACGCAAGCAACTTTTTGGTATCCATCAAACAAAAGAGCTGAAATATATGCATTTGGGTTGATTTGTGAAGATTCCCTTATAAGATTCTCTATTCGCCGCCACAGGGGGATGTAGAAAGACCGCAGTTCGAGGCGGTCACCACTTTGTCGGACTCTCAGGCCATTCGGAGCGTTGACTTTCATCCAAATGGAAAGCTGTACGCGGTAGGCTCCAACTCAAAGACATTCCGCATCTGTCAATATCCCCAACTGACCAAGCTGAGGTAATTAATTAATTAGCCCTTGGGCATTCAAGCTATCGGACAGCTTTATGTTAATTCGATTTCCATAGCAGACATGGCCAACAGACGACGACGGTGTATCCACCCTCGGTGCTCTGCAAGAGAACGAAACACCATCGCGGCTCCATATACTGCACGTGCTGGTCGCGGGACGGGGAGCTCATTGCCACCGGATCGAATGACAAGACCATCAAGTACATGAGATTTAACAATGATACCAACCAGTTGGTGGGCCACGAGATCGAGCTAAACATGCACGACGGCACCGTGCGAGATATGTGCTTCTTGGATGATTCATCCACGAAGTCCCGTCTTCTGGCCAGTGGCGGCGCCGGCGATTGCAAGATCTATATAACAGACTGTGGAACTGGGACGCCCTTTCAGGCCTACACCGGCCATTCTGGTCACATTCTGTCCCTTTATAGCTGGAACAATGCAATGTTCGTTTCGGGATCGCAGGTAAGTCCCTAACACCTTCATTTTGGACTGAAGATAATGCCCTTGTATACCCCAAAGGATCAAACGATACGGTTCTGGGATCTGCGAGTTAATGTCTCGGTAAACACCTTGGACCACGAGAGGCGGGAGGGCCTGGAGAACTCCGCAGTGACTGCAGTGTGCGTGGATCCGACGGGCAGACTTCTGGTTTCCGGACATGCTGATAGCTCTTGCGTATTGTACGATATTCGAGGCAATCGACCTATACAGCGTTTCTATCCCCACACCGCTGAAATAAGGTAAGTTGCTAGGATTACACAATTTTCAGGAATAAGATCCATAACCTTACCCTTATTTCCATTTAAGGTGCGTCCGCTTCTCCCCATCCGCATATTATATGCTGACTTGCAGCTACGACAACTCGGTCAAGCTGACAGATCTGCAGGGAGATCTGGCACATGAGCTGAATTCGGTGGTGGTGGCGGAGCACAAGGACAAGGCAATTACCATCCGATGGCATCCAACCGAATTCTCCTTCATCTCCACGTCGGCAGACAAGACGGCAACATTATGGGCCCTACCTCCTTCGTAATATTATGCACCATTGGATCTAATAACGGCTTTAACTTCGTTGTCAATATTGTATTTTGTGCAGAATAGATCAACATGCGCACATTTGTTGTTGGTCAGACTGATCTTAATTTATTAAATAAAACTCAACTCAAACTTGGTTGATCTATGGAATATTTTTAATGCTGAAAAATCCTTCGCCTGATCCTTTCCATAAATGTCCTCAGGAGAGTTGTGTTCCTTTTAAAAGGATTCGATTGAGTGCTCTTACATTGAGAGTCAGTGGAACAGATTTGATATCCTTTCTACAAATGTTCTCAGAGTCAACAGGTAAACATTTATTCTTGGACTCTTCTTAAAGGATTGCTTTGTAAAAGGACTTTGAAATAAAAAGGCAATATTGTAATTTATATATTTGGTATATATTTATTTATTTAAATCCGTTCTTACTAAACCCACAGTTTCCACATGTAATGTTTTTTACTTTCTAAAGCAAATAAATTGATTTATGTTGGATTTTTAATGTTGCAGTTGCAAGTAACAGGGCTGGCTTAGCGATTAATACACGAATGATAAAGGCAGAAAAATTGTTGTCCTCCTTCACATCATTCTTTTCCACACTCTCGTATCGGTCATAAGGTGGTGGTCCTAACCGTTACCACTTGTCGACGACGACGTCAGGAACTACAGTAAGTACACATGGGCAAACGATAATTACCATTCTTCTAGTCTTCGGGGGGCATTAACCAACGCGGGAGGCAAACCAAAAACTATGGATGATGGATATATGCAGAGGGAGGATTGGACTTCTGCGCACAGGGTTTTACGGGGGACCAGCGAAGCGGCATGGATCAGCGATCTGCGTATTCCGAAACTCTGGAACTTGGCAGTCTCGGTGGGCTCAAATACTTACAGCCTAGTAGGGAGTGGGGTGCTCGGGTGGATTTTCGGATTTCTTGTTTTTATTATTTCGTTTTACGTTTTTAGATATCTTACATGCTGAATTTCAAATCTGTGTTTTTTGTTTCTCTCGTTTACGCCGTTGAGAGTGCGTTAATGTAATTATAGACCATAATGTACAGCGATTGTTGTTGTTCTTTTCGTTCAATTACATCAAATTCTTGGCGCACTCTCGGACATAATAATAATAACTGCACGTACTTTTCTAAAGCAGGAGGGATGGATTCAATTTGTGTTATGGTAACTAATCGGGGTGTCCAGAGTTAATGAAATCTGGGGTTGACTGTATAAAAAATAAGACAATAGTTCATTGAGAGATGGTTGGTTGATTGGTAGGTGGGGGCGGGAAGTATCATATGAAGTCGTCGGTGCCAATCAGCCAGGATCGATCGACGAGTCTCGTGCACGTGCAAGCAAAACGGAATTTAAAAAACATGTATTTAAATATAGACATAGCTTGTGAAGCGGCCAACTTAAGCTTGTTCCGGGCGCCACCTCTTCCCTCTCACGGGGGCTTTGTCGTAGAGCACAGAGCACGGTTTTTAGTTCTGCATAATTTATTTTCTTTAAAGTTAGGTGTGTTGGTAGTTCTTTTTGTTGTTTAATCAATTCACAGCGTCTCTAATTTTATAACAGAGTATATTATGTATATAATGTTAATTTAAGTAGGTATTCTCTAAACAAATGCTAGAAGGATGTACTTAATTCCTTACAAACGAGGCTCTGACGTAAACTACAAAGTGTGCTGCCAATGAAACCCTCCACTCAACTCAGCTGCCTTTGTACCTGATGCCTTTTTTTGTCAGAGACACAGCTCCTGCTCCTTGTCTCCCCACTCATTTGCTTATACAATGTACATACAATCGCTGCTAGTTGTCAAAAGTGAGCTGTGTTACTTAATATCTTGTGCTCGAAATAATTCTTAATATTATGGAATGAAGTATAACCAATAATTATATATTTCCCAAGGAGCCGCAGGAGACAATTACGGGTACGTTAACTCGACAGATACACTAAGATGAAATACTCTTTGTAATTATATAATTATTAGGACGCTTAGGTGGAATTTCTCAAAACAATTAGCAAGTACAAATTAGATTCGATTTACGTAAAATGGTCTAATCGTTTTATTTTTACACAAACATACTTCAATTAAAAGGTTTCTTTTTGTTCTTTTGCCGCGATTATCCTACTCTTCAGTATATTTAAGTTACTAAACACAGACGAATTGTACGGATTTTTATTCAAATAAATTTTGGTTCCTATAATATCTCACTTCCTTTCTTTTTGGCAACAGCCCAGTGAAAATTATACATGACGAAAGGCTAACTAACGCTATTGAAATAAATAGAAGGGCGCGAAACTCCTCTCTTATGTGTCTATATAGCATTGTATGTACAAGAAGCAATCCTGCTAATTTTAATTTAATATACAAACAGGGTGTACGTGTACGTGTGTGTTAGAGAAATCGTTAGCTCATATAGAAAATATATATTGATCATTTTAACGCTGTTTGTTCAAAGCCAAAAGCCAAAGTAGGGAGTGAGTCAGTCAGGCCCATCCTTTGGATATCACCAGTCAATCTCTGTGATACCGGGGGGTTGGTTTTAAAAATCAGTTAATTCTTTGGAACAAACTTTCTATGGGCGGGTTAGGGACTTTACGTTACATGTAGTACATAACTGTGGGTTCAGGGGTTGTTGTTGTTTGTTTCTGTTTATATTTAGTAACACTTTTATACTAGAAATTAGAATAATGAAGTTGGGCTTATGGATTATAATTATTTGTATAATTCTTAAAGCATCATAGCGTACAGCAGGCCAAAGAAGACAGCCCACATTAACACAATGCCATGCATCTTATATATAGGACTCTCACCATCTGCGATTTTTCTAGCAACAAACTTCAGTGTCTCATCTAATAAAACTACAGGAATTGAGAATTTCATCACAGTTATCCATTCCTCAGCAGACAACGGTGTCACTTGGAAGACGGTCTAAGAATGAACGAGATAACAAAGATTAGCTTTCACTGTGACGGCGAATGCTTAGCTCTTATCGCTATCGGTACTTACGGAGAGGACATCGACGTAAAGAATAACAAAGTGAAGAGTGAAGGAGAGTGCCATTGATCCAATCAGCCACAAGTTGCACCATGGGGGCATGGTAATCAGGGACTGATTCTCAGACAAGCTAAACAAAACAAAAACCGGTCATTCGGATCTTATCTGGTGTTATCTACACAATAACTCACCTGTTCATGGCGTTCAACATCTCAATGGTCACCAGCACGGACAAAGCCATGGTCATGGCATGGGGATCGCTAAAGATCTTGCAGTCAACGCCCTTGAACTCGTCACCACCGCCCAAGCAGGACAGATGGTGAGTCAGTTGCCAGTAGGTTAGGTTGGGGCCCTCAGCGGAGAACACGAACCACCAGGCGGCGGCACCGACAGTGGCAGCGCCCACATAGAAGCCAATAGCCATGTAACTTAATTTATAAAGTAAAAGCGCAGTGAGAAATAATTCAATTATCTATGTAGGCAAAGCAGACATACCGGAAGAACAACCATCCGGAAATGAGACCCTCATCGGCCTTCCTGGGGGGCTTCTCCATGATGTCCAAGTCAGGCGGGTTGAAGCCAAGAGCTGTAGCTGGGAGACCATCGGTAACCTGAGCGATAATGGGCGAAAATACAAATTAAAAAACAATCGAAGAATGAATAAAATAATTCCAAAATTTACCAAGTTAACCCAGAGCAGCTGAACGGGAATCAGAGCCTCGGGCAGACCAAGGGCGGCAGTAAGGAAGATGGAGACGACCTCACCAATGTTGGAGGAGATGAGGTAGCGAATGAACTGCTTCATGTTGTTGTAAATAGCGCGACCTTCTTCAACGGCGGACACGATGGAGGAGAAGTTGTCGTCGGCCAACACCATTTCGGCGGCAGATTTGGCGACAGCGGTACCGGAGCCCATGGCAATACCAATCTCAGCCTTCTTCAGGGCGGGGGCATCGTTCACACCATCACCAGTCATAGCGGAGATCTCGTTCATGCCCTGCAGGAACTCAACAATCTTCGACTTGTGCTGAGGCTCCACGCGGGAGAAGAGGCGGGAACGGGCGACGGCAGCCTTCTGTTCGGCGGGGGACAGGTCATCGAATTCGCGACCAGAGTAGGACTTGCCAGTGGTGTCTTCGTCCTCGGTGAACACACCGATGCGGCGGCAGATGGCCTCGGCAGTGGCCTTGTTGTCACCAGTGATCACAATAACGCGAATACCGGCGGCACGGCAGCGCACGATGGAGTCGAAGACTTCCTTTCGGGGGGATCCAACATGCCAACGACACCGACGAAGGTCAAGTTAACTTCATACTGGTAGAACTTGGTGGAATCTCCCAGATCCATCTCTTCGGGGCGCATCGGGCTATCGGCAACGGCGAGGGCCAGGCAACGCAGGGTGTCGCGTCCAGTACCGTATTGACCAGTCAAGGCCAGGATCTTGCTCTTCAGGGCCGAGGTCAGAGGCACCTTGGTGGTTCCGACGCGGGCGTGTGTGCAGCGCTCTAGGACACCCTCAGGGGCACCCTTGACAAACAGCTTGGGGCCAGTGCCCAGTCGGGAGGCCTTCAGAGGGGTGCAGTACGAGGACATGGATTTACGATCACGAGAGAATTCCAGGGTAAACTCCTTCTTCCACTTGGTCTCAATCTCACCGCGGCAGGCAATGGCAGCGGAGCGGCGGTCCAGGCCGGACTTGTTAACGCTGAAGCTGTTCAGCTTCTCAGCCAGCACAATCAGGGCGGTCTCGGTGGCCTCGCCGACCTTCTCGAAGGCCTGCTTGAACTCATTGTAATCGATGGCGGAGTCGTTGCACATGATGCAAACGGTGGACAGTTCCTGAAGGGCGTCGTAGTCAGCGGCCTTAACACGCTGGCCTCCAAGGAAGAGCTCGCCAATGGGCTCGTAGGTGGAGCCGGTCAGCTCGAATTCCAGGAAGCTGCTGTCATTGCCCTCGACCTTGTCGAAGATGAACATGCGGGAAACGGACATCTGGTTTGTGGTCAGTGTGCCGGTCTTATCTGAGCAGATGACGGAGGTGCAGCCAAGGGTCTCGACGGAGGGCAGGGAGCGCACGATGGCGTTCTTCTTGGCCATGCGGCGGGTGCCCAAAGCAAGACAGGTGGTGATGACGGCGGGCAGACCCTCGGGAATGGCAGCCACAGCCAGAGCGACAGCGATCTTGAAATAGTAGATGGCGCCCTTGATCCAGGAGCCACCGTGGGCGGGGTCGTTGAAGTGGCCAATGTTGATAGCCCAGACGGCGACGCAAATGATGGAGATAACCTTGGACAGCTGCTCGCCGAACTCGTCGAGCTTCTGCTGCAGGGGAGTCTTGATTTCCTCAGTCTCTGACATCTCGGTACGGATCTTACCGATGGCGGTGCTCAGGCCAGTGCCGATGACGATGCCGCGGGCTTTGCCGGCGGCCACATTCGTGCCGGAGAACAGGATGTTCTTCTTGTCCTGGTTGACGGCGCGGGGATCGGGAATGGCGTCGGTGTGCTTGATAACAGACACCGACTCACCAGTGAGAATGGACTGATCGATCCTAAGGGTGGTGGAGTAGATGTGGGTGATGCGGATATCGGCGGGGATCTTGTCACCGACGGACACCTCAACGAGGTCACCGGGTACGATCTCTTTCGCGCGAACCTTCTGGATACCGGACTTGTCCTGGCGCACCACCTTGCCCATTTCCGGCTCATACTCCTTGAGCGCTTCGATGGCGGATTCGGCGTTCCTCTCCTGCCATACTCCCACCACTGCGTTGGCTATCAGAATAAGTAAAATAACTAAGGGCTCTACAAATGCAGTGAACGTTTCTTCGTGTTCCTCAAACAGCGCGAGAACCTGCGAACAAGATCGATGAGCAGAGGGAGAAAGTGGAAGGAGTGTTCTTTTTATTCGCGCCAAATACGGGGGTTGATTGCCACTGAGGCGGGCATCACTGCGTCTTGACTTACAAATGAGATGATGGCTGCCAAAAGCAGAATCTTCACCAGGAGATCGTCAAACTGCTCCAGGACCAGCTGCCAGATGCTCTTTCCTGTGGAAGATTAGAATGCAGCAATTAGAATGCAGTCACGCACTGTATATTAGGGCAGGGACGTAGAAGGGGCTGTGGACATGGTCTGAGACTGGGATTGACTTCGCACCTTCCTCAGTCGGCAACTCTGTAATGATAAGCAAGCAAAACAAACACGTCAGTCGTCGATTCAAAGGGGCTCACACCACCTCCGCCGACTCACCGTTGGGTCCATATTTCTTCTGGTTGGTCTTGATCTGGTCGAGAGTGAGGCCGCGCTCGCCGTCCGTTCCGAAGAAGTTGAGAGCCTGTTCGACGGTTTTCGAGTGACCGTCCTCCATTTTGATTCGTTATCCTCTTCGTTCAGTAGCCTGCATCCATCAATCGATCCGGGAGGGGGTTTGAAAGTAGACACAAAGCAAAAACACACATTTTATTCCGTTGCTGTTTCTGGTTTTTGTTCGGTGATAATGCGCCGTGCTGACTGGAATAGCAAATGTACATAAGTGTGCACACGATGTACGTCTTATGTACACCTAATTTACGCTTGTATGGCCGTTTTGCAGTAAAAACTACCTCATTAGGTTGGCCATGTACATACATACATGTGCATGTGCACGGGCACAGGTACGGGCACGGGCACGGGTACATACAAGCGCAATATGTAAATTTTGCAGGCACTTTTCTGGCCACTATTAAACACGGCCAATTGACGTAGTTATCTCCGGACTGGACCCCCCGTCTCGATTTGCCCCTTTTCGTCCGGGGAACATGCTGGAACATTGGCATTACCCTGGGCGCCCGTCTCCGTTCCGCCTATGAGATTCACACACGTGTCACTTCGCACAACTGACGCAGTTTTTGCGAGGGGTTCACCGGAACGCAATTAAAGTGCAGGGACGATGCGTGTGCTGGTGCGGCGCAATTCACTTATAAAACAACGAACGCACTGCGTGTTAAGTACTTTTTCCCTGATTTTTTATATATTATATCCCATGGCGCTTTTTTCTAAATATGTGGCTGATAACCTAAGTCTCGGGCCCAGTGTTGCCAGTTTAGCTTTCAGTATATCTGGCATATTTCAAAATAGAAAAGCTTAAGAAGTTTGAAACTGGCTTATAGCCTTAAAAATAGCTTATTTTAATATCCATATGTTAAATCAGATAAATATGGATTTTATTTATACAACGTGTGTTTTTTAATACAACAAAATTTACCAAAAAACCCTAATTTGACTACGCCGTACATAAAGAAAACGACTTTAGAACTGATGATAAATATTGTACTAAGTCTCTAGGGCCGCATATTACTGCCTGGCAACGCTGCTTACTCATGTACGGAAAATCTGGCAACTCAGGATAATCGATGAACAATATTTCGTCGCGAGCACCCAGTACATGCGATAGCCGGTGCTATCGATAGCTATCGAGAGCTTACTGGTGAGTTTCTGCTTTCAAAAATCCGTCAAGTTTGGTGAGAAGCGAAATCGAATCGTTATCAATGTTTGCTCTCTTTCGCTTTTCATAATTCCATTAGCCAAAGAAAAGAGACAGAAATATTGTCAAGCGAAGGCCATTCTTTCGCTCATTTTGTGCTCAAATTAATAAGATCAAGAGCCCGCAATAAATAGATCTGGGTGCTGCCAGGTATTATTCTGGCAGCTACAATTTTAAATTTCAAATTTCAGACAACAGAATTAGGTCGTACCGGAAATATTGAAAGCCAGCCAACTTTCCCAGCCCAGGAATACAAGAATATTACCTTCGAAAGGGGTGCATTTGACCAACGTATCTCATGATAAGGGATTTTGGGGATTTTCCTGCCGGAAAAGTCGTTACTTTATTCTTACGAAGATTGTCAAAGAAATGTTCTTGGGAAATGCTTATATTTGAACAGACAGACGTATTTCTACAATCATACTATTTATATAGCCGATATAGTCTATATATCTATAATATACTCATGACATCTTGTGGTTGTATTGGTCTATACGTGTGCATTATGGAGCAAAGCAAAAAAAATTGCCTCTGTCCGAGATGATCTATAAATAGAGTCCTAGCACCCGAAAAAATACAAGCTCAATTTTGAACATTCGTACATATAAAGATATGTACTAGGGAAAACACATAAATAAGTATGAAAGTACATATAAAGAGAGACGGTCGTAGGGAGAAATACTCAGTGATATATGTACTTTTTTAACGGCTTACGATATTTTGAGCATTCTAATTGATGTCGACATTTCTTTGGACGCGAGCGTACGACATACCGTACCCCGCGCTTTCGAGTCTTCTAATTTCGAATGACAAATCAAATCCCACCGATGAATTTTATAATTCGTGGATGAAATGGAATAGGCAGCCAGCTAGCTGCTGGTTTTCAGAACGACAAGATCACACTGGCCCAAATCTGGGGATTAGGGCCGTTGCTGTTCGAAATGACAAGTTCACTGTGGCCCAGATCCCGGGTCTGAGATATTTATAAACGTTTCATTGCTCCACAATATGATTTTTTGGGCACTTACTAAGATTAGCCACTAAATAAAATAAGCAGGTCGAGGGTTTTAGCTTGTTTAGGTTTGAGGTGGTGAACCTTTGAAAGTGTTTTCCTGGCAATTACTCTTTGGGTACAACACTGACATGCCATTCGAATATTACCCAGCGGTATTGCATAATCAGATTTTCGATCACAGATACACCTCTGCGCGACCATGTAGGACACACCACTGGTGGGAACTTTACATCTGTGTCGGATCGGATCTATATTTGTGGTATTCTCGTGCCTTCGTATTTGTGACATTCAAATATTTTCAGATCGACTCTGGAGGTCGAGGTTGCTGCTCACTGTATATGTCCCTCTTACGGACATTTCTGGATTAGTCGTAGGTTTGAGTTGGCGGGGAATTCAACTGGGATTGCAGGCAGAAACCAAACTGGGGAGCACTTTGAAACACAGTTTTTCGAGTGTAGTAAGCATGTACATATGTAGAGATGTAGGTTTTCGTATAACTTTTTTCAGCGCGGCGTTAAACATTTGTACATTGGTTTTTTTTGGGAATATTGTATCTGTATTTTTTACTTGAATTTAGAGTAAATCACTGCGATATTCGCTTTGGAATTGTTGCGGAAAACAAATCAACAAAACTTACAATTATTATTCCTAGTAAAAATTCCGTTATTATATAATAAAAATTTATTTTAGTCGGAAGACCAAGAGCTAACACAAAGATCGCGCTATTATAACGATCAACGGCAACTGAACGCAAGGAGAACGCTGCTCGTTGAGAGTGTCTATTTGAATTACAAAATTCATATATTTTGGCAAAATTCCCAAAACTACATACACTCTCTATTTTGGCCCCGGGAAAATACTTTTAGCACGCACAAACTTTGAGCACTTACCACCTATCCGAGATCCGATTGTTCGCTTCTGCTTCTGCTCTGCTCGTCGTGCCTTTTCGTTGAGATCCACCGAAGAAGATATACTGTGCCGAGATATATACATGTGTATATAGATAAATATACGTATCTTCGGGAGCGCACAGATACGAAAATGTCTAGAGCAATGTGGGGAGATGATCACTTGGGCCCGTGCCCGTGCCTATGCCTGTGAGTGTAAACTTATTTCAAAAATGCACGTGTGTTTGTCTAATATCTAGAAATAGTTATTTTTAAAAACAAAACCAGGGGAAGGTAGTAGATCAGGCCAAAGGGTTTAATACTCACGGGTGTTTTGCATGCTTTCCTTTAAAAAGAAACTCTCCAACGGAGCTTTATTACCTTATATATCAGGAATAGAGTTTTTGAAATTTCCAAAAGTTAATTCAAAATTCGAATTTGCTTTATGTATTTGTATAGGAGAGGGTATCGACTCTTCGGTTAGCGGCCATAGGCATTTCTTTCTTTGGCCTTTTCAGTTTTTTCCCCAATTTCAGCCAGAGACTGGCAGCCGTCGTCGGTTTGGGCGCATAAAAATAGTCTTGTAATGTCTCTCGAAAGTTGGCAAGAGTACTCTCGCTCTCCGCACACGTTTTTCCGTATGATATCCGCTTTGTGCACAGCAACTATTACGACTTTTCATAGAGCAGCCATAAATATGCATTTGGCAACTATTTTACCAGAACTTTTATAAGCTACCTTACCCACAGACAGACATTCGCATACATATATCATGAAAAATATTAATAAATGACAATGCAGTCCCCAATGTTTAGTTTATTTTAAGACTGGGAAATCGGGTTTGAGTATAGTAAAGTACCGCCGATAACCAATGCCTGAGTAGTTGGTAAACGAACTTCATGGTAGTAAGTTAGCCAAGTTATATTAATCTAGTATTTCAAAATATTTTCTTAGGCAAACAACTTCAGCAAATGAGTACTATAAAAACCTAATCAAGAGTTTATCCTTCAATGGAATAGACTAGGGGAATCTATCTGAAATTGGCTCTTATTGTTCGTTAAACCATTTGATAATTATTCATTTTTTCAGCATAATTCAGCATTGCGTAATGGGAAACAAGGAAAAAAATAAACCAGACAGAAGCGGTTCTGATGTTAACATCAGATCAATCACCTACCTTTTAAAATATATTTACGTCACACAAAGCAATTTTAGGCCGAAAATAGACCCATGAAACGAAAAAAATATTATACAAATTACCATTTACTTTGCATTTTCTTTTCAAAGGATATAATTTACTTTAAACTAATGCGTGTACATGTCCTTAGCTTAGGTTCATGTTTTGGTCGAAAATAGGTAGGAATCCTTCTTTCCCGAGGTCAACTTGACAGCATTTTCACTGCCAACAATGTTACTTAAACTGAGCAGGTCATATTTTGTGTACAGAATTTTCACAGACATCGCTTCCCCGAAGCCATCCCGCGGATTTTGATTCGACTCAAGCATCAAATTGATCATTTCGGAGTAAAAGTGGGGAAAATTGGGCGGCTGATAAAGAATCAAATTCCGGATACCCTTAATACGTGTGCGCCGGAAGAAGTGTGCTCTTTCCGAGTATAACAGAACAGACGCTCCGCTGTGGAAGAATATATCTCTCGCCCGGGAAATTTTTTCTTTCTTTGTATACTCATTTATCTGCACGAAACTGACCATCTCGGTCTTGAAATGGTTTCGTATTCGTACGTAATCAAAGTAGCTGGGCACGTACAGCATGCAGTGCGAAAATCCGGGCTTGCTGAATTGGGGCATAATGTGCTTAACGAAATATTGGAAGCGATCGTCAAATGTTGACTCAACATTTGAGCAACTGATTCGCTGGAAAACCTGTTCGATCGGAGTTAGTACATTGCGTATGTCACCCTGGTCGACCAAATTGGCGATCCGTACTTTTCCCTGGTAGTTATTGCATTTGCTGTTAAGCACCGCCCGAAACTCTGGGAGCTCATGTGATGAGAATAACAGAGTTTGGCGGTAGAAGTTTGACGCTCCACTCAGACACCACGTCCGAACCCGTTGGCAATTAGTATCGGGTAGCTTCTGCGGTTGCAAGTGCAAGTGGTCCAGCGAATAGAGAAGATTCTCCCAGTTTTGGGCGAGGAAGAGCTCGGCCTGGTCAATGATTAGTAGCTCAATTGAATTTAAAAAGTCGAAATCATTATCCTTGTCCGTTACGAGCATCCTCAGTCCCAATGGAGATGCGATTAACATATCCGACGAATTCATATCGGAGAAGAGGGACATTGTCTTCTTGGTAAAACGAATTCCTAGTTTAAAGTTATCATCTGTATTGCCACTGAAGGTCTGCTCGTAATCCACGGGCTTGGGGTTAGTTTTTGGGAAGTATATCGTGTTTCCAGAGAAATCTCCTAGAAATCGTTCATAGTTGGCAATCGAATTGTTCCTAGCCTTTGCTGTAAGAAATATATATGTATATGCTGATTCTGTTCTTCAGTGACCTGATATAGGTGACTTACCATCCTGACTTCCAAACAGTAAATCCCCGATCGTGTTAACTATCTTTTGAGCTGATTCCCGAAATGGCACAATGAACAGCACCTTCATCCGCTTTAGTCCTTGGTCTCGGAAACTCTCTGGTATGGAGACTTCGTTGGGTGACAATTTCATGGACTTGGCCAAAGCCGACACCTTTTCGTTATTACGCAATATAAGCGATCTGACCTTTAGCATATGATTAATTGCATGCAGACAATATACATATCTGATCTCCTCAGCATTGCCGTAGCTGCGCTGGGGACAGTACAAATCCTGGTAGTTATTTGCAATGTAAAACAATTCGGACTGCAGGGGTGTGAGCGGCAGCTTGGCGTTTCCACAAATGGACAGTTTTACCTCCAATTTCTGAAGGTCTTCGGAAGTGGCAATTTCTTGTGGTTCCCTGCAACCGGAGTGGTCTTTGATATCGGACGAAGATAGTTGGGGAATCTCAAACCTCACGTTACCCAACGCAGTCCAATTACTTTTGATACACTTGACAGCTTTCTTTGCTATCAAATCGTTGATGTTCTCAGTCGACAGCTCGAAGTCGAAGCGTTTTGAAAACGAATTACATGTTTCTAGGTCTGCACTTATATTCTCCGAAAGATTATCCATCTTTGACTTCTTCTTGTTTTCCGGTTCAGAAGCAACAGGCTCGTCCGTCGTTGAACTCAGAATGTGACCTAGAAATAGGGTTTCCGGTTAGTCTCTTTCCTAATTAAGAAATTAACTTGGGTACCTGTGGGTATGTGGTTGAATCCGGTCACAAGTTGTTCGTAAAATCCATTCTCGTTGACGTCGTCCTGAATTTCCGGCAAGAGCTCGGCTACGGGCTCATATTCGGGCTGAGGCGCTGATCCAGGAATCCTTTCCCTGCGATGCATCTCCTCCATCTGCTTGCTCCGCTGGATAAAGCTATAGTTTTTGGAGAACCTTTCATTGCGGCGCGCTGGGGCTGGTTTGTTGTAGGGCTTGCCCCTGTTTTTCCCGTGTTTCTGCCTCATTCCGATTTGTTTGAATTCAGCTAAAATAAAAACATCCAACACGTGCGATGTGTGACCGTCCGGGTACAATATACCGGTTTATTTGAAAGAAGAATGGTATATTTCTTCGTTCCTTTTCTGTTATTTAAATATTTTATTGTGCTACAAAAAAAGGAAAATGGCTATCGTTGTAATAATGCAAATGTAAAATATAATTTTTTGTTCACAAAGCTTTGGCTTAAAAAAAATATTTTTTATAGACCGTTTTAACATAATTTTGGTATTTTTTAAAAACGAAGTCCGCCTCGGTATATTTCCTGAGCTGCATGGTATAAATCGCCGCTCAATCCCGGCCACACTTTCAGTTGGGACATGGACAGCGATCGCTCGGTTAAAAAGCTAAAAATGTCGGTTTTACACGAACTTAAACAAGTTACCACAATTGTGGCTGACACCGGCGACTTTGAAGGTAAACACCATCACCAGTTATATACTATACTATAGGCTGAATCCGATTTCCAAGTAAACGAAAGTAAGCTGCGACTGAATCTCAAAGTTCAAGCGTATGTTCGGAATTGAGGTAAAGAACCATTAATTTTATCTTGGTACAGTCCAGTTGTATCTTTTGTATATACGAAGATTGAACCTGATAAGTAAAACCATAGAAGAAATCGGAGATCCTACAGTAGGAGGCACTGTTATCTGCTAATGTGAAGATCAAATAGAAGTGAAAAGTAAAAGCCCCAGCACTGACTTTAGTTTGACCTTATGTGCATACGTGTGTTAGAAATGTGACCGCTACGACGGCCTGTCCCAGTGATAAGGTTTCGATTCCGAAACCTGCTCAGACAACAAAAAGTTCAAAGATATTTTGGGACACGCGATCGAGAAATAAAAGTTCTCGATCGTGCAACAGGTTTTTGGGAGGCAATCTAAAACTTGTAATGTCATTACCGCTGTTATTATTATAAAGTTTCAAGTAATAAGAAACCACAAACTTTTTTACTTCAGCTATTAACATATACAAGCCCACCGATGCCACGACCAATCCGTCTCTTATTCTGTCCGCTTCCTCCATGGAGCGGTACCAGCCTCTGGTGCAGAAAGCAGTGGATTACGCTAGGAAAACAAAAGGGTAAGTTATACTTCCGTTTAATTTAAATGTTAGTATTGGGGAACCTTCAAATTATAATAATAAATTTGGGTGATGTCGAAGAGTATTCCACAAAATATATATTATATTTAATTGCTTACTTTTGGAAACATTTGAATTGTTCCCCTTCACTTTTTCCAGATCCGTGACTGACCAAGTTGCTGAGGCCATGGATTACCTGTGCGTGCTGTTCGGAACGGAAATTCTCAAGGTTGTACCTGGCCGGGTTTCCACTGAAATCGATGCTCGCCTCTCCTTCGACACCAAGAAGAGTGTGGCCAAGGCCCTGAAGCTGATTGAACTATACAAAGCTCAGGGAATCGGCAAGGAGCGAATCCTGATTAAGCTGGCCTCCACCTGGGAGGGCATAAAGGCGGCTGAAATTCTGGAGAACGAGCACGGAGTTCACTGCAACTTGACCCTTCTGTTTTCGTTCGCTCAAGCTGTAGCTTGTGCCGAGGCTGGAGTGACGCTGATCTCCCCCTTCGTGGGCAGGATCTTGGATTGGTATGTAGCCAATACGGAAACCAAGAAGTTTGAGCCCCTAAAGGATCCAGGCGTCATCTCCGTCACCAATATCTACAACTATTACAAGAAGTTCGGCTACAAGACCCTGGTTATGGGCGCCTCCTTTAGGAATGTGGGAGAGATCAAGGCCCTGGCCGGGTGCGATTTGCTGACTATTAGCCCGGCGCTTCTCAAGGAGCTGGGCAATGAGACCGAGTCGGTCACAACCTACCTGTCTGTAAGCAATGCCAAGCTGCAAGACATCGAGAAGATAACTGTGGACGAGAGCAAGTTCCGTTGGCTGCTCAATGAGGATGCCATGGCCACCGACAAGCTCTCGGAGGGCATTCGCAAGTTCGCCGTAGATACTATTAAGCTGGAGAACTTGATTAAAACGTATCTTAAGTAGAGTTTCCTCAGATGGTTCCCGCTGGCTGGTGGAGGATAATTGTGTAGCATTTTTTTACACATCCGATTTTACCCTTTAATAAATCGTACAATTAAACAAGAAAGGAAGCTAACTTCGGGAAACCGAAGTTTAACTAAGCCAACAAAAAAATGTCTTAATAAATTATTTTTAATTGTGAATAGGAATGTATGTATATGACTTTTGGCAATCACATGCTTTATCTTATTTTTCTTTTTGCCATTATGATCACTGAATTTAATATTTAAAAAAAAAACTTCTGACTAAAACTATAATACCATTCTTTGAACCGATATTATATATATTTTTATATGACAAATTTTTCAACAAACCAAAATTTGAAAAACTCATAACTAAGCCAAAAGAGCATTAATTTTAATGCGAAAAGCTGTCCTATGCTAGTTTTTGTTAGGCTAATAAATCTGCATACTTTATTTAAAATTTAAAAAATTTGAAATTTTTGCCAATTTTCGACAATTTTAATGATGAAACCCCTTATAAAATTTGCAAATTTTGAAAAAAATCCGAAAATGTATTTTTCAACCGGAGATGGCTAGGTCGACTCAGCTGTTGATGCTGATAAATAATATATATTATTTATAGTGTCGGAAATGACGCTTTCACTGATTAAAATTGCAATTGCTTTAATATGATCTTTTCACAAAAAACTTATAGTGTTGATATTTTAAGAACAATAAATGTCTTGAAGCGCATCACAAAACGTTAGTCATATTATTTAATTCGCAGGAAGATTAAAAATACTTTTTATGAGATAAGTATTTTTAAGATAGTTTTGTTATTCTTCCTACCCCCGTATAACAGTATAAAAGTTTATTAAAGGTGTGAAGTAAATAAGCAGAGTTGGCAGCCCTCTCAGAAGCAGCAGCAGCAGTTGGCAGGCCCTAGGTTGATACATAAAATAAAAAATATATAAAAAGTGAGTTAGTACTGGTATTAAAAGTAATTTTAAGTAACAAATTCATTCAGTGCAAACCCGCATTGATCATGATTATTGGGATTATTGAAAAACGGTCGCTGTCGTGTCAAGTGCGATCAAATTAGCTTTTTCTGCACCTCCGAAAGTGGCTCCCCTAACAGAACCGAATCGTGCACCTATAGTTTTAGCCCGAAGTTGCTCCCATGAATAAAAATGTTCGGTAATTCACGGTAAACAATAACCATTGTCAAACATAGGGAATAATTCGCGCACAGCTCAATACCCGTACATGCACGTAGTGTACGTTGTACTGAGCTAAGCTGAGCTGACAATTCGCGCAAAGATGTGATTCGCGGAGCAAGACTTCCTGTCCCTGACGTCGTCCTGCCTGTCCTTAAACCTGAAATCAGTGAAAAATCGTTCGCGCATGAATATTCCAAATACTATCAGATATGTGGTATAATATAGTTTCCCAAAGTGTCAAAGAAATGGCAAATATTCGGAGGCGCGGAGCACATACATATTGATATATGTACATACATTTATTTATGTACATCCATCCATTCACACATGCGAACCCGAGAACTTGTATATATATCGGAATACATACGCACGTATATACGAGTAGATACACAACGATGAGTACACATATCTGTGCAATATATGTACATGCTAGATCCCGATGAATTTATATGTACATATATTTACATTAAAAATCTGCATATGTATGTACATCCGTTCGCCCGTTAAGATATATCTTCGTCCAACTCTTTCGGACATCGGACAGACAGACAGCCATAATTAATAGATTAAATACTTTTACGCGTGCATGTGTATATGTATACATTTTTGTGTATATAATAAATTCATATTTGACTAAAAGTTTAATAAAATGTTCGCCCAAAAATATTCGTACATTTTCGCAAAAAAAAAAAAAAAAAACTGGCTGTGTATACAAAAAATATTCACAACCCAGCCATCTGAATTTTAACTGCTACGAGACGAGCCTGCAGATGAAATTATGTTGGTATCTCTATGTATGTACATATATATGTATGTACATGCGTACCTGCACCTTTGTATGCGCGAAAATTCCACCCGCCCTCTTCTTCACCTGTTACACTACGCTGATGAATTCCAATTCGCCTGACCCGAGAATGTCGGATGTACGCTTTCGGAACGGGCTTTGGGCATCGGTACGGGCGTTGCGTGGAGTAATTTTTGATTTTGATTGCACTCGATAATGGGAGCTAGCATGGTTTTCGGATTTGGATTCGAATTGGGGGTCCAGTTAAGAGTGACGTGACTCATGGGACATTCGTGGGCGGGCAAACTTTCAGAAATGTCGCCAAAGCCAAATTCAGGGCCCATTATTTATGTGTATATGTGTTTCCTTTCGGATCCATTTAAACTTTACCATTGGTATTTAATAGCAAAAAGTGTTGATTGATACTAACTTGCAATCCAGGCTGAGTGCGAACTTCTTTAAGAACATCTTTTAAACTATTAACCATTATTATCTACTTTTTCAATGCCTAGCCTGCAGCTCAGATCAGTGGAAGCGCTGAGTTGAACGGTGGTGCCACTGGGATCCGCTAGCCGTGAATTGTACATAAGGACATTGTGTATAAAACTCGGAAAAGTCTCAGCTATACTGGAGCAGAACGGAGAAAACACAAGGGGTGCCGAGTCACCCGACGCGAACCAGGAAAACCGTGCGACGTGTTGGTGGACCCCGTGGGCTGCGATGGGTTGCTTTGGGTCGCCCACCTCGAAGCAGTCGTCGTCGGATGTGAACTCCTCGGAGGACTCGAAGAGCCAAAAGCGCCGGAGCGATGCAATATCTAGACAGTTGCAGAAGGACAAACAGCTCTACAGGGCCACGCACAGGCTGCTCCTCCTTGGAGCCGGTGAGTCCGGCAAATCAACTATAGTCAAGCAGATGCGAATATTGCATGTCGATGGATTTTCTGAAACAGAGAAGAAACAGAAAATTGATGATATTAAAAAGAATATTCGAGACGCTATCTTGGTAAGTTTTCCCCGAGTAGTAATCGATTTTTCGAAATTTTGTATGAAACTATAAAAATCTTCGTCTATCTGCAGACTATTACAGGAGCCATGAGCACACTTAATCCACCTGTAGCTTTAGAAAAGAAAGAAAATGAACCCAGAGTGGAGTACATTCAGGATTATGCATCTAGTAAGTTTATTTTAGTTACGTATTCTTCTATTACTAATTCATGAACTTCTCTTATATCCACACAGGTCCGGACTTTAATTATCCTCCTGAATTTTATGAACATACAGAAGAACTATGGAAAGACAAGGGTGTTCTTCAAACCTATGAAAGGTCGAATGAGTATCAATTAATCGATTGTGCGAAATAGTAAGTATTGGCGTCGTTATTCAACAAAAGCTTTCGATGTTTTTGTAGCCGAATGTCCGAATGAAGTTTATTCTTAAAAGTCTCTCTGAAACATGAAAGCAATCGTGTACATCACACTTATTTTAATAGCTTAACTGTGTGTTTTTTCTTGGAAATGCACCAATTGCCGAAGATTATGATTACTGGTTGGATTGAAAGTATGCATCTAAAACCTTTGAGTTGAACTGTGTGTCTAGATTTACATTTCTATGAAAACAAAACGCTGTACTTGTTGCTTGAGCTATTAATTCTTAACCCAGTCAACACATCGATAAATATGTGTAGCCTATAATTCTTTTAATTTTGAGTACAATATTAGACTTCTTTAAGCTCGTGTAATTGCTTCTACCTCAAGCTTGCCAAACAATATTTTAATCATTATTTATACATCTTATATTTCACGTATTAAAGCTTCCTGGACCGAGTTAGCACAATCAAGAATCCAAACTATACCCCTAATGAGCAGGATATTCTTCGGTGCCGTGTTTTGACTTCTGGAATATTTGAAACAAGATTTCAAGTTGACAAAGTAAACTTTCAGTGAGTATTTGTCAAAGTGTTTGAATTAATTTCGAGCTAACCGGTACCTTACCTCCCCTACCCAATCGTACTACGTGTGTAGCATGTTTGATGTCGGAGGACAGCGAGACGAGCGTAGGAAATGGATTCAATGTTTTAATGATGTAACCGCTATTATATTCGTAACTGCGTGCTCAAGTTATAACATGGTTTTGCGTGAAGATCCCACCCAAAATCGACTTCGAGAATCTTTGGATTTGTTCAAGAGTATTTGGAACAACAGGTGACACGTGACTCTTGCATAATTAATGCACTTGTGACTGATGAACACTATAAACTAACACCGCCCCTGTTTTCTTTATATATTTTTTTACAGATGGCTTCGCACGATTTCTATTATACTATTTTTAAATAAGCAAGATTTGTTAGCAGAGAAAATTAAGGCTGGAAAAAGTAAATTGTCGGAATATTTCTCCGAGTTTAACAAATACCAAACGCCAAGTAAGTAAAATAGAAGAACTGCAAAGTCTAGCATCCTAGCAGTCATTAAACAAATACATTTGGGAAGCGCATCCGATTCGAGTGGAAGACTTCGGCCATGACTTGACTCAAAATTCCTTCTTCAAAATTGAAACGCATTCATATTAACTTAAGAAATTTAATGGATAATATATTTTTGTCTAATTTCAAATGTGCTGTCGACACAGGTGACGCAATAATGGAATCCAATGACGACCCAGAAGTAATACGAGCAAAATATTTCATACGAGACGAGTTTCTGGTAAATATACAAGGGCTTTTAAAATATTAGTTTCGCTTTACTTTATATAATGATATGTCCGATTGCAGCGTATATCTACCGCTAGCGGAGACGGTAAACACTATTGCTATCCACATTTCACATGCGCCGTTGACACAGAGAACATTAAGCGAGTGTTTAATGATTGCAGAGACATTATTCAAAGGATGCACCTTCGTCAATATGAATTGTTATAGGTTATCCTCCCCCCATCGCCGTAATGCAAGTAAATAAAAAAATATTAATGACTTACTGTTTTAAATATAATTATCAAATGTAATTTGTATTTAAATAGTCCCTTGATTAAAACAAAACAAAAAATTCGCTGCATTTAGAATCTGGTATGACCTTTCACAAAAACTCAACATTAAAGAATAAATAAATAAACATGTTAATAACAAGTACGAATCGTTTTATTCACATTCAGTAAAGTAGGTGAGATGAGGATGAGTTTTGTTTACAAACTATCTATATAATCCCTTGACATGAAGCAGTATTTTAGGCGTGACGCGATCGATTCGTATCCGTGATCATTTATAATCTGAAAGTCCAAGGGTGGAGTTGTCGTCACTAGACAAGCTGGTTCAATATGCTGAAGCTGGCCGAGGCCTTGTCGATTTCGTCAAAGTTCCTCTTTAGCTTGCTGCCCCATGCGGCGCTGTCCTTGCTGTATATGGGGTCCATTCTCACCAGGTACGGCACCATGTCCCGGTGATGGCTGTTGCCACCGATTCTCCGATCCAAGCAGGATTTCACATTATACTTGGCCTTGTAATCCAACTGACACTCGTAGCAAACGACGGTTTGTCCATTTGCAGCGGAAATCAATCTACAGAAGAAATGTGTAGGGATTTAACAAACAATTATAGTAAATTAGGAAGGAGAGATGGATCTGTTATATTATATGCCTTAACATCGGTTTAATCTTGAATAGTTGATATGTATGTGACTACTCACGTACAACTGTTATTTGGCTTGTGGTTTTTAGTTTTTATATCCATTCTGGCGTACTTACCTAACTATAAATGGTCCATCGTATTTCTTTGAGCCGGCTTATGAGGGTAAGAGCATATTGTATTATTTTTTACTTTTAGAAGATTTAAGATTTAGATTTAGATTTCGGTTATTTACAAATTCCTTTATAAATGGCAGCTGGCTAGAGGGTAGTAATAGTTTGTACAATTAAAAAATAAAAGTCGATTATAAATGCAATAATTTATTAACAAATAGTAGCTACATCATTTTATATATATATAAAATAAAGTCCCATTCATGCTCCTTATTTACACGATATTCGATACGGTCAGAGGAAAGGTTTTTAGTCGGTTAATAGTTGTCTACTTTCAGTCCTTTTAATCAAGTGTCCTCCGCCAATGCTGTCTAAGCCGCGTTTCGACACTTGTCGCGCAAAATGTTTGTTTTTAGAAAGAAATATGCTCATATTTCGAAGAAAAAGCTTGTAAAACTCATTAAAAAAAGGCGATGTCGGTGAAAAGTCATCGTTGTCAAAAAATCCTGTTCGTAAACTTTCGCTGTTCCCGTAACCAAATTGTTTTAATGCTGAGATATCTGGTTAAAATAATAAGAAATTCAAAAATTAATTGTGTTATTTACAAACAAAATGAATATAATTTAATTATACATTTCCAGATAAAGATTTAATTAGCATATTTTTCGTTATCCCCATTTCAAAGGTTCAGATTCTGAACTAAGAAAAGGCTTATATGAAATGTTTAACGAAACATTACATTGCAGAAATAAACACCTTGTGTCCTTATAAAATAATATTAATATTCTGGTTACCTTCACACAGGTATTTTCCATCCAATAATTCATCATTGGAAATATCCTAGAAAAAATTAAGGTTTACTTAGACAATTGATTTATAACTTTGGTAGCCTTCATTTTCCACATTGAATTACTTTAACTACTTTAAAATACACTTTAAGTTTGGACAGTACAGGTACCTACCACGCTGGGTGCGGCCTGTATAAAGTTTAAAAACATCGATACCACCACAAGAACAATAAAAATATTCATATTTCCAGTTGTCGTCGATGCACTTGGGGGAAACAATACTCGCCGGAGTTTTGAAGAAGACTGTGCGCTTTATTCGGCTGCGATTCGCTTTATATCCAATTTTAGTCCTCGTACTTAAACAGGGTGGGGGAAAATATATGATGCAGATAACCAGCGACAGCTGAAAGACCCACAGGAGCGCACCCATTATTAACAGCTTAGTTGTGCGGTTTCCTTTATGCTTTTAATGCGTCACTTGCCACCATATTTCCAACAATTTGTGGTAAATACTCAGACAAACAGACCCGGAGTGGTGTCAAGATTTCAGCAAACATACGTGCATTCAAACCATATGCTCAATTTTATTAGATTTAATTTTCATTTATATAGTTTATATAGTTGGAGTTCTCTTTTGGTGTCCTTTGCTGTCGTCATTTCGCGCTTAATTGAGTTAAATAACCGCATAAGACTTGGATTTAACTGGAAACTAACGTATTTTTACTTTGAGCTTGAGAAAATATTTAAAAATTGCGCATTATGGTTATATCTCATTTCATTTGTAGTTCTTATTTCAAGTAATAAATAATATAAATAATATTTTCGTTTTTAAAAGTTAAGTTTCAAGGCTGTAAAGTAAAGTAGATACTACATATATACATCCTATTTCTTCTAAATAATGTTATAAAATTCACTTTAATCAAAGATTTTTGATGCATTTTTTAAGGAAAATAGAAAATTTTTAATGAAGTACGAAAAATCCGTTACTTATCGAATTGGTCAAATTTCAAAAAAAAGATTTCATGGATGTCCGATTATAGCCGTTTCGATACACATGTGTAAACAACAGAAAAAAGGGACCGTAAAAAGTTTGAACTTTAAGTTGTTCAAAATCTTTAACCGTATAAAAAATATATAAGAAATTATCTTAACTCTTATCAAAGGTATAAAAACCATTTAAATAAATGAATTTGGTCGAGCCACACATAACAATCAAAAACGAGTGGGAATGGAACACAAATAGAGTTCACATGCTTGCTCTTTGCTCATTGTCATTGTCTACAATTTATGAATAAAATTTAGTTAAAGCACCTTAAATTTTCAGAAAAAGTAAACCAAATTGAAGCAGATACTTACAATTTTTAATAAGTAATTGAATATCTATGTTCCATGCTTGAAGTACCCTCAATATAAATTAATCGACTTTTACGAATGATACGAATCACCCTGTTTGAAATATAATGTTTTCTTCTTAAATTATAAAATCAGCACATATATTGCGAAATGTCACGATTTCTGCTATCTTCTCGGAGATTGATTCCGCAGGTAGGTCTCACTGCACCGTGCACATACTCTTATTGCCATTGTCATTATACAATCTCCTAATTGTAGTTGCAGCAAGATTTCTTGCTCGCCGGCTCATGGATTTCGACCCTGCAGCCGCACTCCCGAAGAGGAAAAGCCTCGACACCGATAAACATGTGTGTTATGTTTGTGCCCCAGCAAGAGGTATTGTTCATATGCAGGTCTCCTATTTGGGATTTTTCCAATATTTTCTATGCTTCTAGGCCTGGGTTGTAGAGCGGATGGGCCGCTTTCATAGGATTCTTGAGCCCGGCCTGAACGTCTTGGTTCCCGTGGCAGACAAAATCAAGTATGTGCAAAGTCTGAAGGAGATCGCCATAGATGTGCCGAAGCAGAGTGCCATTACCTCCGACAACGTGACGCTCAGCATCGATGGGGTGCTTTACTTGAGGATAATCGATCCCTATAGAGGTATGTGGGTGGTGATCTGCGAAATATGCTTTATGGTTATATCACCCGCTTAGCTTCCTACGGCGTGGAGGATCCGGAGTTCGCCATAACGCAGCTAGCACAAACGACAATGAGGTCAGAGCTGGGCAAGATGTCGCTGGATAAGGTGTTTCGCGAGCGGGAGTCGCTTAACGTCAGCATCGTCGACTCAATCAACAAGGCCAGCGAGGCGTGGGGCATCGCCTGTTTGCGTTACGAGATCCGTGACATTCGAGTGAGTACGATCCATCTTTGCGTCTGCACTTCAGTTTTTCAAAAAATTTCCCGTTTCAGCTGCCCACGAGGGTTCACGAGGCGATGCAAATGCAGGTGGAGGCAGAGAGGAGGAAGAGAGCGGCAATTTTGGAGTCCGAAGGTGTACGCGAGGCGGAAATTAACATTGCAGAGGGCAAGCGAAAGTCCAGGATCCTAGCATCGGGTTTGCTCTAGCAATATAAAAAATTAGGATTTGTACTGAAACTGTCGTTTTCTTTTAAACAGAGGCCGAGCGACAGGAGCACATTAACAAGGCTAGCGGAGAAGCGGCTGCAATTATTGCCGTGGCAGATGCCCGGGCCCGCAGTCTACTGGCCATTGCCAAGTCTCTGTCCAATCTGGTGAGTACTTAGAGTAAGCTGGATAAATACTTCAGTTCCAGCTCAGGTTGTCCCCTGAAATCTTTCGTGAGCATTATACACACTACATAAACTTCATAAACTCAAAATCGGCAATGTTCCAACCGGAGTATGAACAACGGTTGCTGCAGCAGATGGCAGGCACCAGCAGCTCCGGTAACGCGGGAAAGCAGCAACTGGATCTGCGATGCATTCCCCAAAGGACAAACAGTCAGGCCGCCCGAAATTTTGAATTGCCGAACGACCTGAACCCAGATCATGCAGAGCTGCAAGTAAAGAACGACAAGGTGGTGTGCCACAGTTCTCCCTATGCCTGTCTGCTGCGCAACGAGTACCTGGGCACGAAGATCGCCTCCCTCGATCAGTGTAAGGTGAACGCTAAGATTCATGCAGAGACTGGCGACTTCAAGGTGACAGAAAACACGCGTCTTTACCGATATGGAAACCAGATAGAAAGAAATGAGTGTGAGTCTTCACTGCCGGCACTGCGAGTGCCTTTCGCAACCGTTAGCGAGCCAAGCCAGCGGCTGCTTAGTTGCTCGGCTAAAAGGCCCACCCGAAGGCTCTCGCGGGTCCCGTACAAGATACTCGACGCCCCCGAGCTACTGGATGATTTTTACTTGAATCTCATCGACTGGTCATCGGATAACATTTTGGCCGTGGGCCTGGGCTACTCAGTTTACTTGTGGAATGCAGTCGATGGCCAAGTGACGCGGCTTTGCGACTTCAGTCAGGAGGATAATCTGGTAACGGCGGTCAGCTGGCGGAACGGAGGCGGCGACGCCCATGAGGTAGCTATTGGCACGCAAAGTGGCCATGTCAGCATCTGGGATGCCGGACGGCAAAAGCAGCTCAACCGGTTGGGAGGGCATACGGCGCGGGTGAACGCCCTGGCGTGGCGAGGTAATAATTTAAGCAGTGGCTCCCACGACTGGTCCATCCTGCAGCGGGACGTACGCACGCCACCGCTGCATATTACGCGGTGCCTTCGGGGACATGTAAACGGCGTTTGTGGTCTGGAGTGGTCACCGTCCCTTAAGTACTTGGCCAGCGGTGGCAACGACAACAGGCTTTTGGTGTGGACGGATAATAGTCCAGAGCCCATCTATGCCTTCGAGGAGCACAAGGCGGTGGTGAAGGCTTTAGCCTGGTCGCCGCACAAATCGGGCCTACTTGCCAGTGGTGGCGGCACCACGGACGGTTATTTGCGCTTCTGGAACGTGCTTACCGGCAAGATGGTGCAATACATAGACACCGGTGCCCAGATCAGCAACCTGGCTTGGTCGCGTAATACCTCCGAGTTGGTCACCACGCACGGGTATTCCCAGCCGCAGGTTATTGTATGGCGCTACCCCTCTCTGAAGCAGGTGGTCCGCCTTTCCGGTCACACGCATCGCGTGATTTATCTGGCCGTCAGTCCCGACAACGAATCGTTGGTAACGGGCGGAGGGGATGAGACACTGCGCTTCTGGACAGCGTTCACCAAAATACAGCCTGCGAAAGTGCCTAATTCTGTGCTCAGCTTGAATCAAATCATCAGATGAAACCGATTTATCTACATATTCTTTTTATATTTTATAAATGTTTCGCTAAGCAAAATTTAAATGTTTTTTTTCGTGTTCATTGCAGGATGGACAGAATGCAGCATCGCTAACGTTGGCCGAACAATACATTGGGGCATTCAAGAAGCTGGCCAAGACGAACAACACCATGATTTTGCCCTCCAATCCAGGCGATGTCAACACTTTCGTGGCTCAGGCCCTGGCGGTTTACAATCACGTCTCCACCTCCAACCAGGCCAGCATCAAGTCTCCGGAGAACGTAAAAACCATGAACGCCTGCCTTAACACAAACAATGCGTCTGAGTACAACCAGTTAAACGAGGAGAAGAGCAGTGTGAAAATGAATATTGAATAAGGTTAAATAAAAAGATTGTTGCTATTACATCATCATCGTTACGTTATTACCAACTACCAGGCGCGGCATTTAGCAGTTAATAAAAGCAGTTTCTAGAAAACCAAACAACTGTTTATTCGCCGCCACAAATAGACTATTTCGGTAGATATTTCAACAGGCGAACTTCATGCGACAGCCACAGGGCGAAGCTAAGCAAAATCAACGATCCGGACTGATGAGCGGTCGCCAGAGGCACGGGCACATAGTTAAGCAGAGTTGTTACGCCCAGAGTGGCTTGTGTCCAAGCCATCGCCACCACGGCGTTAATGGCCCAGTTGGCCCGCTTGGGCATCTGCAGCCGCATTCGTCTGGTGACCAGCCAGAGGGCTGTGGTCAGCGTCACCGTGCTAATGCCCAGGATGCGATGGTTGAACTGCACTGTCGTTGGGTTCTCAGTTATATTTCTCTGTAGCGGCTGGAACTGCCACATGTCGTCGGGTATCCATTTGTCGCCCATCTTGGGAAAGGAGTTGTAGACTAGACCAGCGTCCAGTCCGGCCACAAAGGCTCCTGAAATGGCGGTCAAGAGGACCATTGCCTTCGTGAGATGCGAAAGGCCTTTAATGTTAAATGCGTTCTTGGCCTGGATCACAAATGTGTTGGCTGGCATCAGCATGGACATGGCCTTGGACAACGAAAGGGCGTACAGAACGAACGCTGCTGCCAGGTGGGACGCCAGCCTGTACTGGGAAACGCGAGGGACGTCGTTGGGATCTTGAAACCTGTCCTCTAGGCCTGACTTAACCATGTACCAGCCCATAAGGCCTTGAAGACCGATCAGCGTGCCCAGCAACAGCACGCTTTTCTTGGTCTTTGCACAGAAGTATCCTTTTTTCCAAAAGTAAGCGGCAGGCAGAAGGAAAAAGCCGCCGATCGCACGACCCCACATTCTGTGGATGTACTCCATCATGAATATAAATTTGAACTCGTCGACAGTCATGTTTACGTTTTTCCTAAGCAAAAGAAGAAACTCCAATTAAGTCGTGCCGGCAGGATTGTAGCGAAAAGTACCTACAGTTTATATTCTGGATATTGCTGATACTTTGTGAATTCTTGTACCCATTCCTCTTGCGTTCTGGGCATTCGTTCGCCCGTTAGCTTCCAAGTAACCATGGAAAGTCCGGATTCTGTTAGCCGGGTTACGCCGCCTAGAACGGAATATTAAGTTAGAGTAAAACATTAAAAAATGAATGTACACATATACCTAGACCGACAGCCACAAACACCATGCCGCTGACTCCCAGAAACCATTTGCCCACGGTTTTGTCGCTCTTAGAGATACTTATTGGCTTAATCGCAGGGATTTCCTATAAGATATGATGATTATTAGTTTGATCATTCCCAATCATCTTGACGCAGCATGTAATCACTCAAATGCACTTCTACCTTTATCGCTGTTTGGGCAACAGTCTGGTGCAGCCGGGGTCCGGGCACCAGAAGCTTTATGAGACTAGTTTTTTTCTGAAGCATTCGTAGCATTGTGCTTAATACTTTATAACAACTATTTCAACTTAATGTTATTGTTTTTAAAACCAATTTCACTACCGGTGGTTCATCGGGAATAGGTAGTGTGCCAGTTACATATTTCGCAAAGATCACTCGTAACGCCTCGTTACGGTATGCTGGGACGTTGTGGGAATGGAACAACTTTGCGCAATCTGGGCACACTATCGTCATCTCATCTACAAAAATTACCGGCTCGAAAACAATTTTGCAAACAGAATGGAAACTACTTTAAATACGCAGTTCGAGCAGCTGCAAAAGATCTTCGAGGGTATTCATTTGGCGAAATCCAAAGTACGACTCCGTTTAATCTGTGAGTGCAATGTATAATGAGTGCTTTACCATCAACAGGGACAGCCAACGGAGGATGGAAGAAAGGCGGCCACTCTGATGTTCGTAGCTCTCAAGCACGCAAACCGCGAAGTTAAGCAGAAGATCAAGGATGGACGGGATAAGCTGCACTTGGAGAAGTCCAGTGTGGACCTGAGCAGGCTGCAGCTGCAGAATCTGCTGTACGAAGTGAGCCACTTAAAGAAGGAGATTGTGCGCTGCCAGAAATTCAAGAGCCGTGACTCCGATTTGGAATTGCTTTCGGACACTGAGTATGCCAGCCAGCTGCCGAACATGGCGAGTGCCAAGGTGGATTTGTCCAGTCACAAGAAGCACGTGCACCGTCTAGAGTGTGAACTGCGGCTAAGGAAGGATCTCGACAAGCAGTACAGCGCGCTGCTAAACTCAAAGCAGGAACTGTTGCAGGAAAATCTCAGTCAAACGCAGAGGTACACCTCTTTTTCGCCGGCCCTGCGCACCTTGCTGGGCGCCACAAAGCCCCTGCATGATGCCCTGCAGCTGTCCCTTGACTTGGAGTGGAAGCTGAGTGCCGTATTCAAGTATTTGCCAAAGCCGCTCTACATTTCGTTTATAAACCTGCAATCGCTGCAAAGGACAAGGGATGATCTATCCTTCACAGTTGAGGTGGTGGGCTATGAAAGCGAAGCTCAAATGCAAGAATTGCTTAACGAGAAGCGCGATACAGCTTTGCGCCGGGAGGGACAAAACGAAATTGAAGAGCCAAAAGATTTGGATACTTTATTAACTCCCCATGCTCTTCACATTAAGCTGTCGGTTCGTACAATGGAATACAGATTTTGGAGTATTATGCACTTTTTTAACTCATTCAACTCTTTAGATCGGAAACACTGGGTCAAACCAGCTAATTTTGCTCATTCGTTACTTTGAGCTGATCAAGTGCGTCGCAGTGTGGGCACAAGTGAATTCTTCCAGCAGCACTAGCAATAGCCAAGGGTGAGAAGTCATTTTAACAAAGAGTATTTTAATATCTCAACATAAATTTTCCTTCCAGCGAAACTAATTTTATTGACAATCTCTTGCGCCATTTGTACGCCAATGATATGGGAAATGAAATACCGATTCCTGGCATTCAATACGAGGTATTTCCATTTGCTTTCAGGTGAAATATCACAATCGTATCATAACCAAGTTGTTGTATTCCAGCTGGGTAGTTTAGATCTGACAACTGAGGAATGCCTGCGATATTTGGAGGACAAGGAGTACGGAAAACCCTTCTGCTGGCTGCAAAGCATGTGCCTTATTTCAACTACCAATAGCTCTATGCTCGAGCGTAATCTGAACAAGAATACCCGGGAGATCATAGCGCGCATCGAAAGGCGTTGGAATTCCTGGCTGCGCTTGAGTCAGCAAATTCGCGGTCTCACCTACAAGGATATTGATTTGTTTACCTTAAGGGAAAATATCTACCCGGTCGGGTTATCGTGCAGTCTTGTCCAGTGGACGGCAATAACACACGAAGAATTTCAGGCACAGAATTCGGACGTGTTGAAGATTTCGTCAGACGACAGGGGCATTATATATAACACCTACCGCGCAGTATTTGTCAGAAGCTCCGCCAAAATGGAATGTTTTATCCGAATTCCGAGCAACTATCCCCTGGAGATGCCCCTTTGGATCCTAACCGTGCACTGGAACGGCTGTCATACGTCCCAGAATAATTCGGCCATTAAGGTAGGTATCTTTAGATTTAAAAAATATTTCCATAGCTTTTAACATTCCTATTTATTTCGCCGCGTAGATGATGGAATACTGGACAAACTCGTTGCAACCCAAGCAGTTGGGTCCGAATGAGCGTCTGCTCTATGCCCAGCTCTTCCGCACCATATACAGCTTCGACATATTTCTGGAAACCGAGGGCTCCATGCAAAGCACCATTGAGTACAACAAGGAAAAGCCATACATCAGTGCGTTTTCGAAACGGAGCCGTGCCCGGCCCTATAAGTACATCAAGAAGGGTTCGGTGTACGCATTTAAGCAGTAATTCAGAGGTGCAGGCTTACCAAACGGATTTCACAGTTTCTGTTTATTACGTTTAGTAATACAATAAATAAGTAACATTTGTAAAGCTAGTTATGACTTCATTGGCAGTTCATCTTCTGAGAAGTGGTCGCCGCCAAGGATCCAGGCGGAAGCGCTGCTGCAGAAGCATTTTCCACCGATTCCCGACTCTCGTCCGGCATCACTTTGTCAACAACATGCTTGGCAATCAGACCATCGTCGCCCAGATAACAGACGGAATAACCATCGTACCACGCCTCCTGGTCCTTGAGCACTTCCTTTAACTGCCATATCTTGTACTTCCAGAACTGGAACATCACCTTCAGGCCGGATATACCTCTGACCCGCCACCGTATGCGCACCGTGTAATCATCGGGATGTTTTGTGATTTTGAGTACTTCGAATTTAACGTAGGCGTACTTCAGGTGCCCCACTGTCCTCAGAATGGCAATCTGTTTCACGTAGTGGTACAGTCCGACAGTGTGCTTGCCTGTGATGTTGTTCTGAAAGATTAGGCCCGGGCTGTATATAGAATAGTCGAGTGGCTCCACAAACAACTTGGGCAGGGTTTTCCTCAGCACTTCGTAGGCCCGGTCTAGGTCTTCAGGTTTCCTCTCGTTTTCTTTCGGGATGTTGCCGGTGTCGTTTGTACTGACCGCATTGGCGTTTTCGTGAAAACTTCGGCTATGTTTAATGCTGCTGTCCACTCGATGGCAATTAAACAAGCTGTGCTCACAACCTGCCGCCTCAGGCACGTGCAGTCGCGTGGCGCAAGCCAATGCACGCTCCCTTATGCACCTGGTTGCCAACCAGTGGCTCCTTCTTATTGATAACATTCCAAAATTTCGCATCATTTTAGCTAGCTCGCTGACAAGGAATTATGTATACTTCATTAACCAGATCGCTTGGTTTCTCTCCACAACTTTTTGTCGGCTACAAATTGATCAGACCATTCGTTGTCGGTCGAATTTCGGGCTCTGTGACTCCTATTTTATGCAGTTTTAGTTTATTGCCAGAGTCGCAATATGGGTATGTTCTCGTGTTTAGGTAACAACATTTGGATAGACGTTCGGCACAAAATCATATGGTCGGTCGACAGTGTGACTGTGGCTCGATTGTCGCCAAATAATATTAAGTAAAATGAGTGGAGTGCGATAAATTTGTAGTAGTAAAATGTTTATCTAATTCTTAATTCTTTAAAACCAAACATAAGAAATTATTCTTTAAAGCCAGGTTTTTTGGAAATAAATAGCAGTACTGAACCGCAATCGCCAGAACTTTTGGATTAGTTAACACTAGATACCTAACCGTGTGACCGTATATAGAGTAGAAAAGCTGTCAATAGTTTCAAATAAATATTTAAATAAATGACTCCTTCAGAGCGTTAGAAGCATTTGACAAAAACTATAATTATATTCTTTGAGCCAATTTTATATATATTTTTATATCAGAAATGGTTTAAAAAATCTTATAACTAAGCCAAAAAAGCATTAATTTTAATTTTGTTAGGTTAATAAATCTGCATACTCCATTCAAATTGTGATTTTTGCCAATTTTAATGATGTACCCCTTTCTTTTTTTTCGAAAAATTGCTGATCAATAATATATATGATTTATAGGGTCGGAAATGACTCCTTTACTTAGTTTTAAGCTTCTGACTGAAGCTGCCATACAATTTTTAATCGATATTAACTATATTTTTATATGCTTATTTTATGGACAAATCAAAATGTAAAAATCTCATAACTAAGCCAAAAACACATTAATTTCATTTCGGAAAGTGGCAGTATGTTAATTTTTAGCAGGTTAACAAAACTGCATACTCCATTTAAAATGTGAATTTTTGGCCGATTTTTGCAAATTTTCATGATGTAACCCCTTTCCTTTTTTTACAAAAATGGGAAATTTCTGGAAATTTTTTTTTTTCGGCCGGAGATGGCTTAAAAGATTCGCCTGTTGATGCTGATCACGAATATATATGATTTATAGGGTCGGAAATGACTCCTTCACTTTCTTTTAAGCTTCTGACTGAAGGTCCATTACCATTTTTTAACCGAAATTAACAATATTTTTATAAGAAATTTTTCAACAAATCAAAATTTACAAATTTCATAACTAAGCCAAAAACGCATTAATTTCAATTCGGAAAGCGGCAGTATGTTAATTTTTAGCAGGCTAACAAAACTGCATACTCCATTTAAAATCTGAATTTTTGGCCGATTTTTGCAAATTTTCATGATGTAACCCCTTTCCTTTTTTTACAAAAATGGGAAATTTTTTTTTTCGGCCGGAGATGGCTTAAAAGATTCGCTTGTTGATGCTCATCACGAATATATATGATTTATAGGGTCGGAAATGACTCCTTCACTTTCTTTTAAGCTTCTGACTGAAGGTCCATTACCATTTTTTAACCGAAATTAACAATATTTTTATAAGAAATTTTTCGACAAATCAAAATTTACAAATTTCATAACTAAACCAAAAAACGCATTAATTTCAATTCGGAAAGCGGCAGTATGTTAATTTTTAGCAGGCTAACAAAACTGCATACTCCATTTAAAATCTGAATTTTTGGCCGATTTTTGCAAATTTTCATGATGTAACCCCTTTCCTTTTTTTACAAAAATGGGAAATTTCTGGAAATTTTTTTTTCGGCCGGAGATGGCTTAAAAGATTCGCCTGTTGATGCTGATCACGAATATATATGATTTATAGGGTCGGAAATGACTCCTTCACTTTCTTTTAAGCTTCTGACTGAAGGTCCATTACCATTTTTTAACCGAAATTAACAATATTTTTATAAGAAATTTTTCGACAAATCAAAATTTACAAATTTCATAACTAAGCCAAAAACGCATTAATTTCAATTCGGAAAGCGGCAGTATGTTAATTTTAAGCAGGTTAACAAAACTGCATACTCCATTTAAAATTTGAATTTTTGGCCGATTTTTGCAAATTTTCATGATGTAACCCCTTTCCTTTTTTTACAAAAATGGGAAATTTCTGAAAAAAATTTTTTTCGGCCAGATACATCTAGAAAGATTCGCCTGTTGATGCTGATCAATAATATATATGACTTATAGGGTCGGAAATGACTCCTTCACTTTCTTTTAAGCTTCTGACTATATCATTTTTAGTTAGTAGTTAGTAACTAATTTTTTTTTTTCGAAAAACTGGAAATTTCAGAAACAAATTTTTTTCGGCCAGAAAGATTCGCCTGTTGATGCTGATCAATAATATATGATTTATAGGGTCGGAAATGACTTCTGATTTAATTATAATATGTTATAATACATTCATTAGTATGTGTACTTTTATGCATAATTTAGATTGCAAATTAAGAATAACACTTTAAGAAATAAGAACACCGAAGATGTAAAAACTTTCCCAAAATAACCCTGGTAAGGGGAAGTATATCGAATCCTGGCGATACGCTCCAAGCCTCTCGATAATCTTGTAATAGGGAAACTGTTGCATTTTGCAGTACTACATGGTTTTTATGCGCAGGAATTCTGCGCAGACAAGTCGGTTACAAGCTCCTCGAATCACACGCAAATCTGGGAGGGAGCACACACATATATTAGTCTACAAGTAAACACATCGTTGTTTACAGACACCCTAGCTATATAATACTAATTTAAGCTGAAGAGCTTTCATTCGCTGAAAAATCGACTTTTATTTGAGCTTAAACCTATAAACCCTCGCGTAGCATGACGCACTAATCGGTGAAGGTATTAATGAGTGCCAAATACGTGATTTAGTTTCTGCTAGCCTCAGTATTGAGAAAAATCAATACGGAGTAAATAAAATGTTACATGCTTGAAATACGCTTTGTGGAACTGTAATATAATATCTATATACTCCTTGTGGCTTCTCCCAAAATGTACGGAATCACCCAATCAACTGTAAACGTAAGTCTCGTACCGGCTAAGGCTCAGGGAGAGGACCCTGTAGAGCCGATTGAAACTTACTGGGTCCCCTCTGTGTAGTTTCTGTTGCCTCGCCTACTTTTTCGATTTGCGGTTATTGATTGGCAATTAAACGCACACTGTGCGAATGCGATTGATTCATTCTTTTCCAGAATCAACGCTTTCGAGTTCGTGATATGGATAACGAGCAAATCATGTCCACTTTTGGGAACATCGGACACTTGCTGAACATCGCCGTAGAGCGATTTATAACTATTGGCGAGATAATTGCCGAGGAAAATATTGACATAAAGGGGGATATGTACGAGGCGGCCAAGGAAGCCAGGGACGCTGGTGAGTTAAAGAATCGATTTAATAATTGACTTTCGAATTTAAATTGTTGCTTCGCAGGAAAATCGATTGAACACCTTTGTGATATATCGCCACTGGGACTGGGGGGTGGCATGGAGCTACGACACCACATTGAGCCCCTAAAGGACTACGGCGCCATTATCTTGGCGGCGCGATCCCTTCTCTCCTCTGTTACGCGAATCCTTTTACTGGTCGACATTATTGTGGTGAAGAAGCTCTTAACTGCCAAGAAACGTGCATCCGAGAGTCTGGAGAAGCTGGAATCGGTAATGAACTTCACCGAGTTCGTTCGTGCATTCTCCGTTTTCGGTACGGAGATGATCGAATTAGCTTACCTCACAGGTCATCACCGCAACTCCTTCAAGGAGGAGCGGCGGCGGGCGCAGATGTTCTCGGCCCGTCAGATCCTGGAGAAGTCCATTGCCATCCTACTGACGTCCTCGAAGAACAGCTTGATCCATAGCGATTGCGTGATCGTTAAGGAGAACCGCGACACCGTGTTCTGCCAGATAAGACGGGCCATGGACCTCATCCACTTCGTTGTCAAGGACAGCATCTTCGATACGACGAAGCACATGCCGTTCGACAAGCAGGCCAGCAACCCGAATTACGAGAATGAGAGCATATACACGACAATAAAGCGCATTGTGAACCTCATAAAAAGGTACAAGTACCAGATGAACTACTACGAGAGCAACAACGAGGGGAATAACAACTCCGACGCGTATTTTAATTTCCTGGACGACGATCACTGGAAGTCGGAAAAGAACCTCGCCCCAGCTGTGGGCGGCCCTGGGGGACGCATGGTGAACAATACCAACTTCAGGAAGCATATGAGCGCCGAGAGCCTGGACCTACGAGAGGAGCTGTCGGTGGCGTTCGAGAAGCTGTTTGAGAAAGCCCACGACTTCACCGACTCCCCGTACATCAGTCACAACCATCGAAAAAACATACTGTCCTACTGCGACAACTGCAAGCTGGAGTTCGATCTGTATCTCAACACGATCATGAAGGAACAGCATCAACATGAGACCGCGGGAGTCCAGCTAAAAGGTCGCGATCCCGAACTAGGAATGCTGAGCAGCCTGGAGGAGCTATGCAAGCAGCTGGTCATTTCGGTATCAAGCCAAATCGAGGACTTTAACGAGTCGCTGAAGATCTGCTCCAAGCTGGTCAAGTCGTTCCACGTCCTGGCAACGAACTACGACATCGACAATCTGAATCAACGGTCCACAAAGTTCCACGACTGCTGCGACCACATCTTTGACATCTGCAAGCTGTTGCAGCACATTGCACCTACGGAAAAGCTGCAGGTCCAGGCCAAGTGTCTGGCCATCAATTTGCGAATCTACGGACCGCAGGTCTTTATTGCTGCCAAGATCCTGTGGAAGTACTCGAATAGCAGTGCGGCCAACGAGAACTTTGAGTCCTTTTCGGACATGTGGAAGTGGCTGACAAACGAGATATCTATGATTGCGAAGAAGATTCTAGTATCAATTAATACAACTAAGGGCGACAGAGAACCCGAAACTGAGGTAAGTAGCTATCCAAATTCCATCTTCTCCTGGAAAAAAAAACTGGACAAAACTCTTGAATTCCCTCTACCAGAAATGTGAAACCACAACAGATAAACTATCAAAATCCGGTGTACCTGCAACAGAAGATGGAGAAATGGTCGAGTATTCTGGCCTCGAAGGCAAAAACAATGGAGATCTAAGCACATATCAATCAAAATGGAGTGAAGACTTGTCCGACGACAACGACATATTAAAGAGAGCTAAAAACATGTCAGCGATGGCTTTCCTAATGTATCAGTTTACAAAAGGCAATGGTTCTCTAAGAACAACTCAGGATTTGTTTACTCAAGCCGAATATTTTGCGGAGGAGGCGAATCGACTTTACAAGGTCCTCCGTCACTTTTCATACCAGGTAACTGTTGTAACATTTCTTCCGGCCAGTCAAAATTAAAGGATTTGTTTAGGTTCCAGCTAGTGACAACAAAAAGGATCTCCTTAACATTTTAGATAGAGTGCCGACTTTTGTCCAAGCACTTCAATTTACAGTCAAAGATCACACGGTTGGTAAAGCTGCCACTTTTGTGAAGGTCGATCATGTCATCAGAGAAACAAAAAACCTTATGAACGTTATTAATAAAGTAGTATCGAAGTGCTTTGAGTGCGCAAATAAGGTAAATAGAGCTAAGAACAGCCGCTATCGGGCCATCACCTATACGTAGCTGAGATATATTTTATCTAAATGTTCGATGTGTATTATATGAGGTTTATAGTTTTACTGTGATATTAAAGCATGCATTATAACACAGGTATGATTTAAGTCTTTATATTTTAGTTCGCAACGGATATATTCTTCTTCGTGGAGAAGAACAAATTTATGGACTTCCTGTAGAGACTTCCTTACCATCCGCTTCCTACCTTCCCATCCATTTCTAAGCTATTGTTCATTCTTATAGAGCCAAGACCACTGTCCATTCCCAATCAGGACCAACCTAACCGAACCTAGCTTTTTAAAAATCTTTTCCATGCCTGCGTTTTTGCTTAAATGTTTTTTATTTAATTAATGATTTAAAGTTGTGATGGTAATTACAAACTTATACATTTGCAGTACAAACTAAATTTAACTGGGATAACCGGAGGACTCACGTCGGGAGCAGTTCGAGGCGACGACAACGTCGCCGGTGGAATGTGCGACTCCAAAGGAACAACGAGCAGCAGCGAGGGGAGCATGTGACATTACGGGATGGCTCGAAGAGCCAAGGGAGATGCACGGAGGACGAGGGTATCATTTTTATTGTTCTGAGCCTCAACTTTTTATTACTATTATTATGGTGTACACTGTTAGTATTCTTAATACATTTAATTCTGTGGATTAGTTGGAGCCGCTTCTAGCGTTGATTAATGTCAAACAAAAACAAAAAAGGAAGCTAACTTCGAGAAGCGGAAGTTTGTATACCCTTGCAGTTTGTTAATAGATAACTTGTCCAAAAAAGCATTAAAGTGTCAATTTATTATTTTAATTGCGAATCGGAATTTATCTCCTACTTGGAAATCACTGTTTTTATATGATATTGCATATGATTTTTTTATTAATAAATTTAAGTTTCAAAATCTCATAACTAAGCAAAAAGAGCATTAATTTTAAATCTGAAAGCTTTCCAATGCAAGTTTTTGTCAGGATAATAAATCTGCATACTTAATTAACCATTTTTAAAAATTGAAATTTTTGCCAATTTTTGGCAATTTTAATGATGTAACCCCTTATAAAATTTTTAAATTTTGAAAAAAGTCCGAAAATTTATTTTTCAACCGGAGATGGCTAGATCGACTCAGCTGTTAATGCTGATCAACAATCTATATGGATTCTAGGGTCGGAAATGACTCCTTCACGGTGTTACAAGCTTCTAACTGAAAGTATAATACCATTCTTTGAGTGGATTTATTTATATTTTTATATGACAATTTGTTCAACAAATCAAACTTTAAAAAACTCATAACTAAGCCAAAAGAGCATTAATTTTAATTCGGAAAGCTGTCCTATGCAAGTATTTGTGAGCCCAATAAATCTGCATACTTCATTTAAAATTAAAAAAAAAACCCCTTATAAAATTAAAAAATTCAAAAAATGTATTTATTTCTTACATGGTTACATAGATTTGCCGTTTGATGCTGATCAAGAATATATAGTTTTTATAGGGTCGGAACTGTCTCATTCGCAGACTAATACTCTCTGCAAGGGTATAACAAACAATTTATTAAACATACAAATTCAAATTAGTTGTTCTTAACAGCACGATCTTTAAATGCATATTTTGTTTCACTCTACATTCGAAAAAATTAACGGCAATAAAGGTAATGTGAACCATGCAGATATGTAAATTGATGTTTTTCAATATAAAATAAATTTAGAAGAAGGAGTCTTATGAAAACAAACAAAATTCTATAAATCTGTTCTCAAGTATTTCCTTTCGGTTTCATTCACCATCTGGGTATTTATCATCTGGGTGGAAGATCTATTACTGCAGCAACTCTTTTTTGGCTGCTCCTGCGATACGGTGTAAACTTTCAAGGCCACTGTTGAGGAGTCCTTTGATTGTTCCGTCTGCGCCGTGGAATTCTTCAACTTCAGCAAATTCTGAAAGAGCATAAGGTCCAGGGCAAACAATGCAGCGCAGACAAAGCAGAGCCCTCCCAGCGAGTAGGCATAAACTAAGAGGTCCTGCGGCAGTTGTTCCACAGTGAAGAATATAAGAAGTCCTGGAAAATGTTTATTTCTCATATAGATGTACAATAGTTATGCAGTGAGTCTTACCCTCTATTGTAAAAAACAAAACGCCACACATAAGTAGAGCTATTTCGCAGGTGCTATAGTTCGAGGTTTGATCAATTATCCTGAAAATAAATCATTTTAAAGTAACAATTATCGACAAGTAACTTTGCACTTTTACCTTGTGAGAAGCAGAACTGCAGCAATAAAGGTGTATCCCACAAATGTAAGTGTGCCAAAATCATCGCTTTCCTTTGTCCAGGAAATGCTATTGAGCAGGGTCCATTCCCTGGACTGCTTCTTATTACTGAATAAGACTCTCTCCGAGTGTTTGTCCGACAGCCTTTTCACTATCAAAGCTGCCACGGTTGCAATCTGTTAAAAAGATTAGACAAAACTGGATCAATCTTATTTTAATATCCAAATGAGGTCACCTATAGTTTTATGAACTTGAAAAGATACTTGCAAGTTGCAGAACTTTGGTGCATATGCAAGCCGCAAGCCCCATGTTCGACGTTCTGAACGAGCACTCCAAAACTGAGACGGCTGTGGCACGTAAAAGCCTCAGATTTACCTGACCCATGCAAATTTTCTCACATTTGGTTGTGTTGTTTAGCGTGGGAAAAGCTGAAGTTAAAGAACTGACTGTGCCAAGTTTAATGTAAATTGTTAAGAAAATTCTGCTACCTTGAATTATAAGAAAACCAGCACACACATCGGCCTCTGTGGAGAAGATTACTCTTATCAAAATAAATAACAATAAAATAATATATTTTTATAAATGCTTGATCTATAAGCCTGATGCCAAAACAAATAAAAAAAGTTTACAATCGGCCTTTGTATAGAGATTATTTCTTTATGTTATCAGTGACACAGTGTAGCTGGAAACGTAGCTAAAACCAGGTACCCTATGCCATTTATTTTGATATATTTTCATACAATTACATAAGATCAGTGCTTATAATTTGGTTTAATTACTTTTTATTAAAGTCGGAAGTCAATATATAGGCAGTTCTTGATTATATATGTATGTATAACTATATTAAAGCAAAACCGAATTGACCTTTTAAGTTGCCAAACCCCCTATTTTTTGTTTTTTAATAAAGAAAACGGAACTTAAACCAACATTTCACAGAAATCCGAGTACTTCATCTGTGTAAGGGTACTTAAGTGGGGAAGCCATACAGTTCATTATGATGCGATCCTCAGTTTAGTCGAAGCAATCAGGCAGTTAAGTGCGGCGATCCCAGCATATCGCACCTGGAAACAATTAATCTAATAAGCTGTAATATAATGCCGAGCATTTGCATAATTGGTGCGGGAACGGGTGGCCTTTGCAGTGCCCGACATGCGGTTGAGAGTGGATTTGAAACAACAGTATTTGAACTATCTGACCGAATCGGGGGAACCTGGGTTTACATCGAGGCAACAGGCATTGTCAACGGAATTGACGTTCATAGCAGCATGTACAAAAATTTACGGTAGGATCTCCTTTATCCCTTATAGAGCATAATTCATTCATAATTCACAGCACCAATTTGCCCAAGGAGGTAATGGGTTTTCCGGACTTTGAAATTGCCGAAAATGAGATGTCCTATGTGAGATCTGATGAAATGTTGGATTTCTTCGAGCAGTATGCGGAACATTTTAAACTAAAGCAACATATCCGATTTAATTCCTATGTGGTTCGAGTTGTGAAAAAGAATGAAAAGTGGCAAGTAAGTTAGGGGGTCTCCTGAATAATTTCAATTATTAAAACCACTTTGTGCAGGTCCTTGTGAAAGATGTGGTGACAAACAAGATCGCTTTTCATTATTTCGATAAGATAATAGTGGCAAACGGGCATTATCACACTCCCAACTACATTAAAATTCCCAATATGGAGCGGTTCAAGGGCGAGTCCATGCACAGCCACGATTTCAGAACAAATAAAATTTTCGAAGGCAAGTTTACGCAGTTAAGACCTCACAAACATAATAACCGAAGATATTCTTAAATTTCAGGTAAAACAGTCCTGGTGATTGGGGGTGGCCCAAGTGGAATGGATTTGTCTAATATCATATCTAGAGCTGCGAAGAGAGTCATTATAAGCCATCACGTGACAGATATTGGAGATAATATTTTCTTTGAAAACGTCCGCCAGAAGCCAGATGTGAGGGAGCTCGACGAAAATGGGGCCTTCTTTGTGGATGGGTCCTATGAGCAGTTCGACATTATTTTCTATTGTACAGGATATAAATATGCCTTTCCCTTTCTGAGTGTTGACTCGGGGATCTATGTTGAGGACAAGTACGTCCAGGATCTGTACAAACAATGCATCAACATAAGAGACCCATCGATTGCATTGATTGGCTTGCCCTTTTACGTTTGCGCGGCACAAATGATGGATCTACAGGCAAGATTCGTCATGAGCTACTACAATGGGAAAAACAAACTGCCATCTCCGGAGGTGATGCTAAAGGACACACAGGACAGAATGAACAAACTTTGGAATGAGGGCTACCGAAGACGTCAAGCACATATGTTGGGACACAATCAAGTATGTTTATCTTCGAATCGATTTATTTGTACTAGAGACTTTTAATTTCACTCCTTAAGGCCCACTATTACACGGATTTGGCGGAAACCGCTGGGATAAAGAAAATAAAAGATGTTATGGCAAAATTGCACGACGAAAGCAGCAAATGTTTCAATGAAAACCTACTTCATTTTCGAGAGGATATCTTTAAAATAGTGGATGATGAGACTTTTATCAAAGTAAATTAAAAAAAAAAAAAATGTCATTCCTGAATACAAATGAAGTAAACGAAGGCAGTTACACAATAAAGCATTTACTTTTCCATACATAGGTATATATGGTCAGCATGCTTATAAAATGACATACTAAGTTTTAAATTGCTGAAAATGTAATTTAAATGGGGCAATCGGAATATATATGTACATATAGCTTTAAGCGTTTTATGCCGTAAAAAAAAACAGATATATTCTCATTGTTTAATTCAAACAAGAAATTCACCTTTGTTTGTTGATGTTTGTTTAGTATTTTTTCCGCAACTTGTTGAACCACCTTTTTGTGGACATTTTTGGCCATTGGCCTGGTCACATTACGCCTCCTTCGCAATATCAACTTCTTGCATAATTTACGTAGCACCTCTCAATTCACTTTCAAAGTTCGCTGATTTAGGTGGTCTGGTTCTTCGAAAGAGTGCTTCGTCATGCAGTGTCCGTTCCTTAACCGATTTACGGCTAGCTTTCTGCGCAATTACGCAGAGGTGCTGACCCAATCTTACGCGATGTACTGCCCCGTGGTGGGCAAAACTCTGAACGCGGGCGAGAAGAAACTTTCACTCGTCGCCTCGCTGCCATATGCCTCGACTGCCACAAGGTCGTACTCTACATCGACGGAAGGCAGTCGCTTTGCGGTGGCTGGTGACGTAAAGCCCGCCGACCCTGACCAGGCTGTGGCTCCGACCTCCGCGGAGACCTTTCCCTACGAGCGCTTTTTCAACGAGCAGATCATGAAGAAGAAACGGGATCACTCCTACAGGGTCTTCAAAAAGGTGAACCGCCTGGCTGGCGACGGGCTGTTTCCGCACGCGCTGGAGTACTCTGAGCGGTCGGAGAAACCCATTACTGTGTGGTGCTCCAACGACTACTTGGGCATGTCCGCCCATCCGGGCGTTAAGCGGGCGGTGCAGGAGGCCCTTAACATGCACGGATCGGGGGCGGGAGGAACGAGGAACATTTCTGGAAATTCTCTCCACCACGAAAGGCTTGAACGGAAGCTGGCCGAGCTGCATCAGAAGGAGGCCGCTCTGCTGTTCACGTCGTGCTTCGTGGCAAACGACTCAACGCTCTTTACGCTGGCAAAGCTCCTACCCGGCTGTCAGATTTTCTCGGACGCTGGCAATCACGCCTCCATGATAATGGGCATTCGGAATAGTGGCGTGCCGAAGCACATTTTTCGCCACAACGACGTCGATCATTTGCGCTCGCTGCTGAAGCAGGTGGACAAGAGCACCCCGAAGATCGTAGCGTTTGAGACAGTACATTCCATGACAGGGGCTATCTGCCCCCTTGAGGAGCTACTGGACGTGGCCCACGAATACGGGGCTATTACCTTTATCGACGAAGTTCACGCCGTGGGATTATACGGGGACCATGGCGCCGGAGTCGGAGAACGTGACGGTGTGCTGCACAAAATGGACATTATATCGGGTACCTTGGGCAAAGCGTTCGGTAACATCGGCGGCTACATTGCTGGGTCCGATAAGCTCGTTGACATGATCCGATCGTATGCGGCTGGCTTCATTTTTACCACTTCTCTTCCTCCCACCGTGTTGTGCGGAGCCCTGGAGGCTGTTAATATCCTGGCATCGGAGGAGGGTCGTCAGCTGCGGCACATGCACCAACGTAACGTCTCCTATCTGAAGAACTTGCTGAAACGCGAAGGTAAGATGTAATTTTAGAATTTATGTAATACGAATTTAAGGTTATCGTCACACTTTCCTCTCATTTTAAGTGCTGGCTATATTTAGGAGGATATATGTATATGCATCCATTACTTAAATTTTATTGACTGCATTTTGTTTTCCGTCTAAGGTTTTCCGGTCGAAGATACCCCCAGTCACATCATTCCAATCAAAATCGGCGATCCTCTGAAGAGCAGCCAAATCTCAAACGTGCTAATGGAACATTTTGGACACTACCTGCAGTCGATAAACTATCCAACAGTTGCCCGCGGCGAAGAGAAACTCCGACTTGCCCCGACACCTTTCCATACCTTTGAAATGATGAACGCTCTAGTTACCGATCTGAAGAAGGTATGGGAAATGGTAGATCTCTCGACCAACGTTCCGCTTTCGCCGACCGGCTGCATGTTCTGCAATTCGGAGAGCTGCTGGCATCAGGACGCATCCCCGGATCTTGAATGCGGAATTCCCAATTGTCCCCGCTTGGAAATCTCTGTTGCCGCATAAATTCATTCTCTTAACCAAGGCACGCATCTTAACTGAAGCATTCGAAATATTTACCTTTGCCTAAAAATTAATCTTGTGGTTTGTGGAAATAAATAAACAATGGTATTGGTGCAATAAATATGATGTAATAATTCAATGGGTAAGGGTAATGCCAAGATGGATGATATGACAGGGTAAGTGTCACCTCCGATAAGGGAAGTTGCGTGTTTCATGAGCAAAGTACATTGGCTCGCAAAAGGTATTTAAATTAGGAAATGACACGAAAGCGATCTCCTTGAACGTCGACCCAAAATTGAAAGGCATTTGAATGAATAGTGGACAGCAGAAGCCAAACAAACCTCATTCCAAAAACTTCCCCCCAAAAATATTAATTATTTTGATGGCATTAAACTTTCGTTATCTATCCATGAAGGGCTTACTAACTCTGAAACAAAATGATGAAATTAGTACAAAATAAATAGTGAGGGGATTTATTTCGGGGATCCGAAGTTGGTACACCCTTCATTTTGGAATCGTTTGTGTTGCTACTAGTCTAAAAAAAACAGTTAATGACATTTAAATTAAAAAACAAGTAATTTTTTTATATTTTTGGGTAATTTTAATTATGTAAGTCTTTACATTATTTTGCTCCGGACATGATTTGGCAGTTGTTCCGGATCAATACTATATCTGATTTATTTTCTTAGAAATGAGTCCTTCACAGCGTTGCAAAATACTTATTAAAATGTTAATACCTTTTGCAAGGGCACCAAAATTTTTGCAGTTGCAGAATGAATACACACAAAATTATACTTGATAGCATGACTCAACTCCCATTAAAGGTTCAATTTTAGTTGATGTGTACTTAATGGGCATTATTTTTATTTTTGATAAGAATAAATGTTTGGAAACATTCGCTTATCACTAGCTCAACACTTGGAGATTGTATACAATAATTCTGCCAAAAAGGTCTGTACTAGATTCGAATACGAATTTAATCTTTGAACACGCTTTTCCTCGCGACGTATCTTTAAGATGAAACTGCTGAGGAGAGTTGATATCTTCTGGATAAAAGGACTCTTGATGTATCTGGGCTCCATTTGCCGCATACATTAGGATTTCCGATTTTTGGCCAGCGAATCCGCCTTGAAATTGAAACTCGAATCCCGAGACATTTTGGGGCTCATCAAAAATAACGATAATCCATTGCGGTGTTCCCTAGAAAAACAGCTTAATTTAGACAATTAAAAACTAAAAACAAACTAGATGGAATACCTCATCTGAGCTCCAGGAAGTATCTTCTTGCGCATCAAACATGAATTGTTTTCCATACTGCTTCACTTCTTTGTTTAACACAGAGCTTACTCTGAAATCAGTGCGTTTAATAAAATATAATTCGAAATATATAACGAAATACCTGCAGGAATAGTGAACTTTAGCCAAAATATTCATCTTATTATCAAAAATGTAAATAAACAAACCGCGAGGTTCTAAGTGTTAGAGATGAGCAACTTCAGCTCTGTAAGAAATTCAAATTTTAAATTTGAAGTTTATTTCAATTCAGTATTATTTACTTAAAACGAACCAAAATATGTTTAAGCTTTTAGTATTTAATTAAGTTATTTTTTAAATTTAAATTTGTATCTTCGATTTATAAATTAGTTTGAGATTATTTATCGATAGGTTAACCCCTAACTGGCAGCCCTGGCAAGAAACAGCTGGCAGTTTTATCAACATTTATAAACTATAATGATTAAAGCCATTCTTGTGTTTAACAACCATGGAAAGCCAAGACTTTCCAAATTCTACCAGTATTTTGTGAGTGCTCAGGCGCATTACAGATCCGGATAACGTCCAGTTCAATATTTTTCTTGTAGGACGAAAGCCTGCAACAACAAATAATCAAGGAGACCTTCCAGCTGGTATCCAAGCGGGACGATAATGTTTGCAATTTCCTAGAGGGCGGCAGGTTAGTCCAATACCCAATATTATAGACCTTTTAACCGCTTCTAATGTTCCTAGCTTGATTGGCGGATCAGATTACAAGCTTATCTACCGCCACTATGCCACGCTGTACTTCGTGTTTTGCGTGGACTCCTCGGAGAGCGAACTGGGAATCCTTGACTTGATTCAGGTATTCGTGGAGACCCTTGATAAGTGCTTTGAGAATGTCTGCGAGCTGGACCTGATATTTCACGCCGATGCCGTCCACCACATTCTGTCAGGTTTGAATGCGATTCTCTAAGGAATTATTTGAAGATTTACTCATAGAAGCTTTGTTTTTAGAACTGGTCATGGGCGGTATGGTGCTGCAAACCAACATGAACGACATAATGGCCAGGATCGAAGAGCAGAACAAGATCGTCAAACAGGAGGCGGGCATCTCGGCTGCGCCAGCACGCGCTGTGAGCGCCGTAAAGAGTATGAACATTCCTCAACAGATTAAGGACATCAAGCTACCTGATCTGCCGCAGGCAATTAAGGACTTTAAGTTCTGACAAATGTATGTTTTTATCAAAGATTCTCATTTTTCAATAATAAGGGTGAGATTTTTCTTGATTCTCCACAGTTCTTCAAGAATTTCCAATGGCACTCTACGTTCATGGACTGCTGATACATTTAAACTAGGCCTCATTTATCCAATGTATCTCCCTTTACCGAATAAATATATATATGCAATTTAACTATATATTCAAAGATTTGATATGCATTTTTTTGGATACTTCCGTAATTAAAATGTACATACCAAATAGCTGGGAGGTCTGCCAATCAGATACTTCTATACCTTATTTTTTTAGTATTTAAATTCGAACGGTTACAAATGTAAATATATGTACATAAAAATATTATCTTATTCAGTCCTAGAAATCAACTGTTTGGACCGGCACATTCCAGATCATCCTCTTCGCCGATCTCCAGCATAACTTGCATTATTTTCCTTTTCAGCCGCTTTCGCGAAAGCTCCGAGTTAAGGTTGCGGAACTCACAGGCGATTAGCTCCCCGAAGGCATCCCACTGATCCCGGACTGGAACGGTTGTCACAATAGCAGGTTGTTCTGCCAGCCGACTCGGGACTAAGGGAATAGGTTTTGGTTTCGGTTCATCGACCTTTTCTATCTCCTCGCTTTCAATGACAGCCTCTATGATTATTGATTCCAAGCTCTCAACTGAAGTTTGGGTTGGTTTTCCCACGTCTTCGTCGTGGTCTGTGTAGCTGTAATCCAGCTTAGCTACTTTCTACAACAAAAGGAGGATAAGAAAATGCATGGTACGGAGTGGGAGTGGCAATTAGTTAGCGTACCTTGCACTGTGAACTTTGCTGATATCCTGGCCGGGGTTCGATCACGGAGCGCAGGAACATCAGAGTTTTGAAGTGCTCCCAGCGGCAAGTCTTCTCGGGGAGCTGACTGGAACTGGAGCCACCGGATTCTTCCAGGCGCCGTTCCAACTTCTTTAACTCTGAATTGAACTGGTTGCGCAGGTTGTGCACCTTCTTTCCGTAATCGTTCTTTGTAATCCCGAGCGTGGTACAGATGTGTTCGATGGCCTTTGAGCGACAGTCTTTATTTTTATATCGTTCCGAAAAGTGATTCCATAAACAATCTGAGTCGCGGTAAAGCTCAATGAGCTTTGATATCTTTTCGCGGCTCCAAATAGTCGGTTTTCGTCGTTGGCGACTCTTAGGGTGTAATTCACCCTCCGAAGACATATTGTTATTATTATTTAATACTATTTTTCAATAACAAATTGCCAGTGTGCCCAAGTCTCAGTAAATAAAATATTCCTCTCGAGACTTAAAAATATAAATTAAATAGACCCACAAAACTAAGAATGATATGATTCTTTTTTTTTATCCAAAATTTAAATAAAAATCCTAATTAATTTTAATGGTCTTAACTTTTTAGGAGTCACAAAAATATTTAATTTTACATAAATCGATAGAAGTGAATCGATTAGATTATCTTTTTGTGCTGTGGTATTTTTGTAATTGGAGTATTTTTCGGTCCGAAATCTATCGAATAAAGCATCGAAAACATGCATCCTAAATAATTGTTCTTCAGTATATAAATAAAATAAATAATTATAATAAATAAATGCATCCGCGGGCGCCGTAAGCTGTTGGAAAATGTGTGCGGCACACGCGAAACAAAAGTAAATCCGTTATCCGTGCTGGCTATGGTGACGAGGGACCACTTTACTGATAAATACGGCCGACGCCCACTGAACAGTTTCCTTTACAGAGACTTGGATAAATGCGAATTGGGTAAGTTTGTAATTAAACAAAAGCTGAGGTCTGGCAATTCGAAACGAATAACACATTTGCAATTATAGACTGGACGCGGAATACACTTGAGCCGCCAGCGAACGAACGCCGAACGAAAGCGCAATGTCACAAGTAATACCAAACACGCCCACACCCCAAATGCTGACGACATCAACGCCTATAGAACCCATGAAACCACCACCAGCGTTTCCCACGCTTGGCGTCGCTGCACATTTAAGCGAGCAGGCGTCGGACGTGATACTACGGGCCTCCACGATTTTTGGCGATATGAAACATCATAGCGCGGCGGCGCCTTTGGATCTCGAGAACGTACACAACGGAGTCGGTGCTGCTGAGACTGATAACAACGGGAGTGCGAGTGAGGACGGGTCGCCGTACGGTAGCAACTCCAAGATCCGCATCATGCCCACCATTAAGCTGCTGGCCACACCGCACGTGTCAGATCCCAAGCGCAAGTTCGTCTGCCCCTACGACAACTGTACAAAGAGCTACGGCAAGAGCTCCCACCTGCGCTCCCACCTCACCTGGCACACGGGTATCAAGCCCTTCGTCTGCAGCGAGCCCAAGTGCGGCAAGGGCTTCACCCGCTCCGACGAGCTCAACCGGCACCTACGGACGCACACTGGCGAAAAGCCCTTTGAATGCATTCAGTGCACCAAGAAGTTCTCGCGCAGCGACCACCTCACAAAGCACCTGGCCACCCACGACAGGCAGCTGAAAAGCAGCCCGCCCAAGCGGTCCGTGCCGAACGCCGTACGACTTAAGCCGTCGAAGAAGCACTCCTCGGAATCAGAGCCCTCGGGATTCCACTTCATGGCCGCCATGAGCGGCTGTGGCGATCAGAATGTGGACCAGCAGCACCAGATCCACCAACAGCAGCCCGCAGAGATTGTGGACTACCAACACAAGCCGCTGAAAATAAAGCTGGAGCGGCCAGAGCACAGTGACAAGTATCAGATCGTGGCGCCTCCGCACGCCCCTGAGAACCAGAGCCACAGCCAGCTGCCATCCTTTCTTAACCAGGCTAAGCCCGAGGTGAAATACGAGCCGGCCGACGAAATTGTAAATACACTGTCTCAGTTACCGCCGCAGGATGGCCCCGGCACCTACGGCATGCCTCAGTTCGTGCAGGACCGACCCTTCCGCTGCCGGCAGTGCGAGAAGCGGTTTAAGCGGCAGGACGACCTAAACCGGCACATACGAACGCACACCGGCGAAAAGCCTTACGCTTGTCCGCAGTGCTGTCGGCGATTCGTGCGGAGCGACCACTTGAAAAAGCATCAGCAAACGCATTTGAAAATACGATAGTTTCATAATTAACTACTCCATAAGTCGCAAGCCATTGGCATCCAACCCAATATTTATATTGGCTGAAACGGGCGTGTGTCGGGTGACGCACTCAGTACAATAAAATTAAATAAATTTGCAATTTAACAATATATTCCTATACATGTTTAATGCTGGCCCTTATATCTCAATTTGTATGTATGTATGTATTTGTAAATAAGTCGTATGCAATTTAATTTTAACTTAAACCTATCTGTGTTGCCAGAACATGAAGATATATTTTTAAAAATTTAAACCCTTTGCTGTTTTTTACTTTCTGGCTACTGTGCAACCCGCATCGATCCTTTAATATAAAAAACTACTGCAGTATACATTATTGTGCTTTTTTCTGATTTGGTTTGGGAATATGAATGATATACTACAGGACTGAATGATTGAAAAACAGTTGTTCCAGTTTAACCCCCTTCAAAACTACATGAATGCGCCACTGAGCATCGTCGTTATCGATAAGAATTGTTCTATCGCTGCACAATTTTTGACATCACTAATGGCATTTTGATATGATTTTGAACTGCTACAAAAGTTGGTAGAAATGTGCGACTTTGCCGCCTTGTGGGCGGACGTAGTAAAAATATTCCCAGTTCTGGGTGGCGTGGTAGGTTGATCCCTTTGTTTTTATATACAAAATCTGGCTGTATCAATTGCAAACCCTTTCAGAGCCAGGCTACGGTGTCCGCCGGTCCAGTGGATGAGAAGGTGTTAGAAAATGTTCGCCAGCACCTGACGATGTTTGGAGGCATTGACACCTTTGCTGCTCTGGTTGACTTGGAAATACAGTCGTCTATTCGAAAGGTTTTGGTGCCAAAGTTCTGGAAACACTTCCACGGCTTGGTGCCCCCAGAACTGCAGAGCGGGTTCAGCGACCAAGCATTGGCCATAGAAGCTCTGCCTGACAAAAATCGACTGTTCACCCAGTTCATTGAAGCCGTCAACGAACTGCACGAGGCGTTTCAAAACCTGATGCAAGTCAAGCCCCGTCTAATTCAGCTCATTGGGAGCGAAGATAAGCCAGCTCTAAGGACGGTAAAGTTGTTGCGGGAGGATGGAATCGAGAACTGTTTGAGGGACTGCCTGCTGGCCCAGCTGCCGCCCACATTTAGCGTGGTCGTGGGGGCATTCTACTGGGTCCATTTTAAACTTTTCACTAAAGCCTCACATCTGGCGTTAACCACAGTTGGTATGTATTGGCTAGCCAAGCCCCTAAGTTCGTTGATTAACCTGATACCTTTCCAGACTCTGATGTGTTCGACGAACTGCTCTGCGTCGGCTGCAACTTCGATGTGGAGCAGTGCTGCTGCGAAAAGCTGACGGAAATGGTGAACAAGACAAACACGATGCTGTTTGAGATGAATCTCACAGATCGCCTAACTGGCAGTGCATTGACGGCGCTCATTAAGCTCAAGATCAAGGAGCACATCAACGACACGTGCATGGGCATATTCGATCGGAGCCATCTAAAACAGCTCGAAACGGTGAGTTGGGTTCTCCTGCCTTTTAAAGCACCCCCTCTTTAATTTTAAATCTGGTTCAGTGGCTATCGGATGTCATAATGTCATGGCTGGAAAACATTTTCTCAGAATGGAAGTCGAAAGATTGTTTAACCGAAGATGATGCTCCCGCTCCTGTCCAATCCTTTAAGGTCAAACTGACCTATTATATGTACGAGACATTCGCACAAAGCGTTATCGGCCAGTTCTTCAGTATAATTATTGGTATGATACTGGAACTAAAATCATTTAATAACAGAAATCATACTAATTTTTCAATATCATGCATCCCAGACTATCCAGATTCTATTCCGGCCATAGACGACCTCAAGATTTGTATGGAAAAGATTGACATGCGCATTTACCTAACCGAATCGTTGCGAAGCTCCTTAGAAGCCCGAATTCTGCATCCTGGCGTCAACACCATGGACATATTGACTGGATACGTGGCGGCTATAAAGGCCATTCGCCATCTAGACAATACTGGAGTGATATTGGAGATGGTCACAGCCCCCATTAAGGACTACCTTCGTAAGCGAAACGACACCGTCCGGCGTGTAGTAACCGGTCTGACCGAAGAGGGACCCACCGACCTGTCCGAAGAACTGGCCAAGGGGGAAGCAATCAAGGACGGAAAGGATTCCGGTGCCGACGAGTTTAGCAACTGGGAGAACTGGGAACCGGATCCGTTCGGCATCGATGCCAGTGTCATGCAGTACAACAGCTCGAGGAAAATGAGATCGGCCGACATTATATCAATGGTCGTTGATATCTACGGAAGCAAGGAGTTGTTCATGACTGAATATCGCAATCTAATGGCAGACCGCCTTTTGTCACAGCTGGACTTTAATTCTGAGAAGGAAATTCGAAATCTGGAACTGCTAAAGATCCGATTTGGTGAATCCCTTCTGCATAGCTGTGAGGTAATGCTGAAAGATGTTACCGACTCTAAGCGAATCAACGCACACATCCATGGGGAAAGCAATCGTCCAGAAAGTGAGTGACGACGACATCTAACCTATTGATTAGAGAAATATTTTGATTTGCCTCTCGTTTTCAGATCAGCAATTTGACATTTCATCGTTAATTGTTTCGGCACAGTTCTGGCCGTCCTTCAACAAAGAGAGTCTGCAGCTGCCGGATGAGATCGAAACGGAGTTCAAGAAGTATACCAAGGCGTATGAAGCGTACAAGGGCAATCGTACGCTCAACTGGCGTACGGTCACTGGGCGTGTGAACATCGAGATCGAGATCGGGGATCGAACCATGGAAATGGTTGTGAGCCCCACCTTAGCGGTCATTATATATCACTTTCAGGGCAAGAGCGAATGGACTCTTGAGGATCTAAGTACAATTACAAAGGTCCCACAGTCTGCTCTACGACGTCGTTTAAGCTTTTGGCAAAATCACGGGTTGATTTCTGAGACAACGCCGGGAGTTTTCACACTTTTGGAAAAGGAGTCCGAGGAAAAATCACAATTTGAAGATATGAGTCTTACGGAAGCCGATGAAGAGGATTTGGAGTCGGCCATGGCCTCGGCCAGTGACCAGAGGGAAGAGGAACTTCAAGTGAGTGGTGGAGATATTTCGGTAAATTCCCTTGATTCTTAAAGATTCTGTAATCTTTTCCGTTTTCAGGTCTTCTGGTCTTACATTGTAGGCATGCTCACGAACCTTGACTCCATGCCCATCGACCGCATCCATCAGATGCTGAAGCTGTTTGCCTCCCACAGCGGCGGCGTTGAATTCACTCAGGATGAGCTGAAGCATTTCTTGCAGCGAAAAGTCAGGGAGCACAAGCTTATATTTTCCGGTGGAGTTTATCAATTGGCTAAGTAATTTTTGGGAGCTGTTATCGAACAACTAAGTTGCAAACGACTGAAGAAATCGTGAAATAAAGGTGATAAAGCATATGAAATTTCGGTTACTTGCAGCACGTCGTCCATCTTATGGAAACTGTCGTCTTATCTTTTCGTAATCAAAGCTTATCACTTGTGCTAGTGTGTGGGGTAAAACCGTTACCTTAACTTTCTTTTTACTGAATGACGAACAAAATTGAAGAATACGCCTAAATCTTAATTTATTTAGCTTCAAATTAATATATATTTATATGTATACTATTCCCGTTAGATCAACAAATTCAAACTTTTAAGGGTTCTTAAAACTAAAGGCAAAGCAAAGTGAATTGGTCTCGATACTATATACAGATATACAGGGATAACAGTTTTTGGTTTTATAAAAAAATCACAAACTTTGCGGCTTAATTAATTGCTTTATACACGCAAACCAAGTATGCTTAATTTAATGTCGCATTAGTTTATCAAACTGTAATCTGTACATCGAAATCTATTTCAGGTATATCAATGCAGAGCACGCACTTCCTCCATCAGAAAGCGGGCCTGGTAGACACTATCGCGGTGTTCCGGAGTTAGGACAGCATTTATAAAGGGTGCAATACGATGAATCCGCTGCTGAAATCGAGACCGGTCCCGGGCAATCACCTCCCACTTGCTTTTCCTGGCCGCCCGATAGGCATAGTCCCAGGCATGCATAACATGAACTTCCGGCTTCAGGTTGAAGCGTACCTGCGTAGGAAGTGATAGTTAGTAAATAACGCACTCCTGTTATAGATTTGTTAATGCAAACCTTTTTGAGGCTCTTTGAGCTGTCGTTGCTGCTGCACGCGCAGGTCTTTTCATCGGCCTGCTCGGTGTCCTCATCTTCGCAGCATGTCGTGAACTGTACGCTGATATCGTCATCGTCATCATCGTCGTCCTCGTCCTCGTCCTCACCATCCTTGTCATCTTCCTCGTCTGCGTCGTCTTCGAAGCAAATAAAACTGTCCTCACTGCATTCGGAAATACTCCTCTGACGTCGAAAGCAACCCGCCTTGGTACTCGATCCACCAGAGACGTCCGCATTGTTATTTTTGTCGCTGGACACTTGACTAGAGTTGGGTTCGTCCAGGGACTCCTTAAAGCCGTGCCGCGAGTGCGGATGCAGGTCGATAAAGAAGCAGCAGGAGCGCCGAAGCGCGTCCAGCTTGAGTCCCGCCATCTTGACGCCCGGTGGACTCTGGGACGCAGCAACGCACTGGTGCAGGGCTGATTGCATCTGGCTGACGACGTCCATGGCCATCAGTTGGAACGACATCATGCTGGCCAGGGGTTCTGGCTGCAGTGGGGGCATGAGCAACTGCTCCTTGGTGACCGTTCGGTGCGAGTCTAGCGGTTCCGCTTCGGGCTCCTTGTTAACCTTGTTTGGCTTCCACAGTGGCCGCCCAGTGAGGCGATGCGACGGTGAGCACCGATATTGCTCGTAGATGGGGGAGCTCATGTTTGCAATCAGTCGGAGAACAAAGAGGAAGGGGTCAAACAGCGCTCCCATAAGGGTGTGGAATTTCGACATCTAATCTTCAAAACACAAATACGCTGCTGGGGGACTCCTTTAGAAAGGCCATTTTCTTGTGCTTGGTTTTGGGTGGCGGTGGCATTGTTCAGCCAGCTAATTTGAGGCAGATTTTCCCATGATTACTCGATGAACCAATAATGTAATGCGGGGTGAAATAACGAAATAAAAGTTTTTGCATCCGACACTTTGCGCGCGATTTGCTTTCAGTTGTATGCTTGTTCTGCTTTCGTTTCTAGGGTATACAGCGAAATATAGAGTCCGGGCACGAAAATATTGAGAGTTTTACACGTTTTATTGAAGAATAATTCCATACTTTTTCACTAGAGCTGAAAATTTATCGATGAAAAGTAGTCGATGAATCACCTTGAGCGTTGTTGTTTTTGCGACTATTCGTTGGTATACCCTACAACATTGTCCGATACGTGTCGGGCATTATTATCGATCGAAGCATATAAATTTGTTTTTCTTCATATTACATTTGTTTTATATTTGTATATTTCTACATAAAATGTTTCAACTACATACTACTACATAATAAAAAGGAATACATTTGAAAATTCGTTTTTATTAATTAAATCGTGTCCAGATAAGTAACAACTCAATCAAATCAATCGAATAGCAGTTAAGTCTATCGATATATCGATTGTTTATAGATAGGTTTTTAAACCCTCCTTTAAACACAGAATATAAAGTACATAGTTATGTATGTATGTACATATATGTTTATTATTTATAACCAGTATTTACATAGAATTTTAAATTTCCCATCTATTTTATATATTACAGAAAAGTTTCCGTAGTTTGTTTTAGTTTTAAGGGCAAGCAAATAAGTTAGACAAATAAACAAACAAATTTTTAAGCATCCCATATTTTATTCAAGATTAATATGGTCTATCACAATAATCAGTATTAGGGGTTTTATTAAGGATCGGATATATTTTATTTATAATTTAACAATAATCATACTTCATATATGTACATACATATATGTACACATCTTTATAATCTCAACACGAATTGAAAAATTGTTTTTTTTTTTGTAATTTACAAGAAATATGTGAAAATGTAAAATGAAGTATATACATACATACATACATTCATACAAAACGATCACTTCCGTGTTTCAGACATTGTTCTTGTTCTTTAGCCGATATTTATACCTGACACTGTATGAAAATGCAAGTGCATGTTCCGCTGCGTCATTCTCCGTACTCAACGGCAGATAAATATATACATACATACATACATAAGTAAATACGACGTACTTGCATCTGTGCATAAGAAGTTTTGGGTATATTCGCACGTAATTTTTTAAATATCCAAGTTTAACTGCATTACATGTTTATTGAACATGTACATACATATATGTATATATGTATATGTTCTAACGAGAAGCATATAAAGAAGTCTTTAGCTGCATCCCAATACCAACGTAGCGTAGCATATAATACAATATCAATGTATTATTTCGATTTTCCGTACTCGAAAAGCGTTCAGAATTGTCTGAAATAAACAGAAGCCAGATTGATATTCATGCCCACATATTTACATACATATATGCGTATATACTGATGTACATATTCTCGCCTGTATATGAGCACAAACACACGCACAGATAATCAAACAGCCATATGATTAATACACATCGAAACAGCTGATTCATAAGCATTGTGTTGGTGTGGGGGGGAATGGCGGGGTGGTTAGCACACGCACACACACTCGCTCACCCATATGTTTGTGCTCAGAGTTACTCACACACCAGCTGGGAACGCTACTGCAACAGTTGATAGCAACGTACAGGTGCGAATTGCGGGTGGCTCCCAAAAGGTAATTATTTTTTCCCATAAATAGAATAAAATCCAGATTTTTGAAGAAGATTTCATTATAATATTATTCTAGCCCATTAAACAGCTTTCAACTTTTACTGAGCATTGGAGAAATTGCTTCATTAACTTGGCAAATTTTTTTTAATAACACATAAAACAAACTACAAAATCCTAGTACCTAGGACTACTGACTCAATATAAAGTGGTCGCCACCCGCAATTGACTGCGATTCGCCACTGGCTGGCCAAGGAAATCAGTCTGGCCGAGAGTCATTATGCACACACACATAAGCGCGGACACAGATACGTACACTCGCTGGCTCTCTCGGGCGCACGCAAACACAGGCCAGCTCGTGTATCTGACTCTGGTATGGGTGAATGTATCTGTATCTACGTGCTGGGGACTCTGAGTCGTAAACTTTGCGTTCAGTTCACTTGAACAGCTGTGAGTGATCAGCAAACGACGACGAGACGAGGTTGTCGGGAACTAAGTACACACACACAGACACGAGCCCCGTCGTATATGCAAAATTACACACCAGAGCAGCAGTAGCAGCAGAGCAGTACATGGCGCTGCATAAGAAACAAGTACAAAAGCAACAAATATAATAAAAATATACAAAAAATAAAAACGTAAAATCTTTTGCGTAGTTTATTCGCTCCAAGCCAACTCTCCTATCTCATCGCTACGTTTCGCTGCGCTGCCTCGCGTTGCGTTGCGCTGCGCCGCCGAGAGTTGCGTTCGCTCTTCTGCTCAGCTCGATTCGATTCCATTTCGATTCCGCTGCGACGCGATGTTTAGTTTAGATTGACCAGGACAAGAAGAAATGCCCTGGCACTCGCGCGACTCCGACAGAATCGAGACACAGTTCTCCACCTAAGCGAAGCGATTAAACTAAGCCTAACTAAACTAAATCAACTGCCAAGCAGGGCCTATAAACCTACCTATATGTGGTAACGGAAACGAGTGTGCATAAATCGCGTTGTGATTAAACCCCACGAATTAACTAATTAAAAAATCCGCGATCTGAATCTGACTGTGATTCTGATTCAGATTCTGACTCCGAACCCAGATACAAAAATACAGTCCACCAACACACACAGATACTTATTGTCAGTGCAACTGCAAGTGTATTTCCGCAGCAAGTGATAACGCTCCGCGAGCATAAACATATACAAAAACCGCGCATGTAACGCCAAGCTTCGTGTAATCATTTTAAAAACAAATCTCAGCAACGACCCAGAAGACATATTATCAAATAGTTGGTGTTTCAAAAGAAGCAATGGTTAGCAACAAAAGCAACACGTAAAACAAACACAAACACAACAACCACACACACGACTCTCAGTGGTATTGGTGCTCGCCTGCCGTAGTATTAGTGTCGACCACAGTCTCGAGTACATATGCATTACACAGACGTGGTGTACACGGGTGTGTAAACTCTGGGCACATAAGTACGAGCCAATCTATTTAATTCAGTGCATTTATAAATTAATAAAATGTACAATAAATACGGAGAGCCAGAGTGTGAGTGAGAGTGCTGCAGATATATAGTATACAGAGAGGCACACGTACATAGCTACAAGCTCATTACACAGACGCAGCGAACGTGAGTCTTGGAATATTGCAAACACAAAACAAAAACAACAAAAATAAAATAAATAAATAACGAGGAACCAGTTTCACCTTGAGGAGCAATACCTAGTGCATACTCACACACGGGCCAGCATACGAACATATGTGCGATCGGACAGCGCCTACGACTACGAATACATAGTGCACATGCAGCAGTACATAGGCAGTACATAGTTAACAGTACATAACGCATAATTGGCCGGGAGCTGCATAATAATAAATAATAATAAATCCGAGATAAAGGCCCGGAGAAACAGCATCCCCGTCTTATCGGAGCCTCACCACCACTGCCACAGTATCAGCGACTATGTTCCAGTCCCAGGGATCATCGAGTCAGCTTCCCTGGGATAAAACCGATACACAGATACAGATACCCCGCTCTGATGCATCCAACTGAGGTGCTCCGGGAAAGATGATAGCTGCGCCCAACCAGGCCGCCGAACCACCATTCACACTTCGCCCAGGAACATTGCCAGCCGTTCCAGCAACCACCACTACCACCCGGCCAGCGAGTCCAGCCCCACAATTATCCGTGCCCGTGCCCGGGGCACTCTGCACTCCGCACCCCCAAAGAACGCCAGCAGCAGCAGAACCAGCAGCAACACAAAGCCAGCGAGCCATTACTCATCCAGCGGCTGTGGCTTCGCCTTCCGCGCCTGTTGCTGCAGCTGCTCCAAGCCCCAAGCCCCTCCACGACCCCAATCCCCTTGAATCCAATATGGACAGCGAAAGATCTCCGAGCCACAGCGGCCATGAAATGACACTGAACATGAGCGGCATCGATTCCAGCCTGGTGTTTGGATCTGCACGGGTTCCTGTCAATTCCAGCACCCCGTATTCGGATGCAACTCGAGTGAGTAAGAGACAAGCCTGCATACACAGCGGGAAATAACTTGAAAAGTTCAATACAAATGGCCTGAAAAAGTGGCTAACTTTAGTGGCATTATAAAATTATTCTAAACGTTTACTATATGTATACGATTTCCGAAATATTTGTTTTTATACATTCCCAATGAGGCCACAACCATTGGTATATGTGTGGACATAGATACTGCTAACTTCCACGTCATTTTTCCAACTAATCCGCAGCCCAGTGGCCTGATCTTACATCTCGATAGAGAGATTCGTCCGTTCCCTATCTCTTCTAGATAGCCCCTGCATGCGGAGGAGGACCCGCCTCACGCCCGCCGCAATGCACTTCTTATCGGTTCTAATGGGAAACTATATTTACTTTGATAAAAACGGGCACACAGCTGTCTCGTCAAACCAAACGAACTTGATATTTGGCTGAGAGACCTACATATAGCGAATATACATATATACAAATACTTTTTCCAGACCGGACAGGTCAACAAAAGTTTGACTGATAAGATTTCCTGTAGATTAGATTCAAGTTTTTTGCAGCGATTATTTTCTTTGTTTACAAATACACACAAGGAGGCAGAAGGCAAAACCATTATTGGAGATTAGTAATCGAATCTACGTATGTGTTATTCACGCTTGATCATAAAAGCTCAACTTCGGTTTGTCTTATTATGATGAAATACCCTTTTTCGTACCTGGATACGTATCTACCTGGAGGGAGCATTGATGGATCGTTATTTCGAACACACATTTTCAAGATACAGATACATAGATACAATACTTACATTCGGGGAATGCGTGGAAGTGCATTTTTTGTCCCCGTGCATTTACGGGGCGGTTGTGCTCGCGTTTCGCTTCCCTGATGATGACTCACATTATTTGTGTCGAGCTTGCATATCCATATAGACATATATATACATTGTAGATATGTATCTTATATGTTGTTTTCTCAGGCGAATAGTAAGCAAACGAAAGCGTCTATAATTGCGCTGTTTAACTGTGACCAGCGATACGTATTCGTTTTAATATTAGAATAGATGTAAATATGTTTATTAAAAGTCACGAAGCAGTTCCTTATTGCGCTCCAAAGAGCCCCGAATTCGTCATCTTGTTTACTAGCCCCCCCCCCAAGAGGTGGTAGAACCAGCTAGTCAGTCCAATGTACAACTATCAGCTAGCCAAGAATGCAATTAGGAGGGGCTGCGACCGGACTGGGACTGGGACTCCTAGTCATAGCCGGAGGCGAGAGCATATAGAATTTTAGCGAATAAATATGTAAATAATTGTGCGCACACATAGCACATTTGGTGCATTGACCTTGCTTAGCAGTTTGTTTTTTACGGTTATTAGTGCGGACGGATGGAGGAGGCAATGGCTTTGCTTTTGCCAGCAGCAGCGTCACGAACAGAAAACTCAATTGCGTATTACTCGTATATGAGGAGTACATATGTACTTGGCTGGCAGGCGGCAGGCGGCAGGCGGCAGGCGTCGTTGACTTCTGTCGCCGCTCCACGTTTTATCTTTATTGCAAAAATGTATTTAATATAGTATATGTCGAGCTGATGACCTTAGGATCTAAGCAGGCGGCAAGAACGGTTAAAATCGAAAGCTCGCTTGGCGCTGCCCCAGCCCATTTCATCACTTTTACTTGCTTCCCGACACGACCATACATATGTATCTCACGGATGCGGGTGTCTGCACCTCGTATCCGAGCGAGTGTGTGTGTGTGGATGGAGCCGAGCGGAGTGGAGTGGAGTGGAATGGAGTGTGAGTGTGTTGTGTCTACAAGAGTCGTCGTCGTCGTCGTCGTCGGCTGCTTATTAGACTTGAACTGTCTGACTGACGGCGACATTGAGAGTGAGTTTCGGAGCAGAGTTGCGAGGGCAAAGGCAATGGCAAAGGCAAAGCCAATGGCCGATGGAGCATCGCATCCCGTCGGCACCAATACCATCGGTCGTCGTTTCAGCTGAAAGTCTGCTCTGCTCTGCTCTGCTCCACTCCGCCTCAGCCCAGAGCTACTACTGCCAAGGGTATATCGCTTCGTGCGGCTGTGGCTGTGACTGTTGCTGTTGCTGTTGCTGTGACTGTAGATGTGGATGAACTCGCGAGGTACACGAACTGCTGCAAGGTCGAAGTTAACGCTATTAATAGGTAGTTTTTGCCGTCTCTCTCCGGGCGAGAATAAAACGGTTATTCACATTGGCCAAACGACGCACAGCGGCGTTCGACGTGCGACGTGCGACGCGTCACCGCAATGACCTATTCCAAATGGTTCCTGAGATTGCCCAGATCGAAGGGATTAACGTTTAACGCTAAACGCAGAAAGCTGAACGTTTAACGCTGAATGCCTAACCAGGAAGCAGATGCCAGATGCGAAATGAATGCAGGTACCTGCGGTACATCGGCCCACTTGTCCGTGTATCTTAATAACCGAGCACATTTAAATACATACGGACATACAGAAATGTTCGTTTTAGGAGCGTTTTATTAACCTTGGCGAGGGACATTGAACTTCAAACGCTGCGAATACGTATTTTTTCGTACAGATACAAATGCATACAGACATAGACAAGGTATACGGTATACAGTACACGAAATGCATATATACAGAGCTCTCTTGGCTGGTGTGAATTTTATTTCCTAACTCTTTATCTGTGATACGTTAATATGCAATGAGCATTATATATACAAATGTGTATAATAGGTAAATGTGTTTTTTCGCATGAACAAATTAACGGAGCGTTATATTTATGTCTACCTACATACTTGAGGTTTTGTTTTCGTTGTTTTTGTTTCTGTTTCTGAAATGGCTTTAACGGAAATTTCGCTTGTTTCATAATTTATGAATATGTAATTTATCGGACCGCGAAAAGTATTGACTGGGAACTGGGAACTGAACAGAGCCACCGGAAGTAACAATGTATATCGAGATGTGAATTATGGCCACGATTTTCTTGGGGTTCACATATCCCATTAAGTTAGCTGCCTATATAAAAAGTAGAAGTGACTAATTGAGCCCCTGTCTATTCTCATTCCCATTTTCTTTCAGACCAAGAAACATTCTCCCGGCCATATAAAAAGACCCATGAACGCGTTCATGGTCTGGAGTCAAATGGAGCGGCGGAAGATATGCGAGCGGACGCCGGACCTGCACAACGCCGAGATATCAAAGGAGCTGGGACGACGATGGCAGCTCCTTGCTAAGGAGGACAAGCAGCCGTACATCATCGAGGCGGAAAAGCTGCGGAAGCTGCACATGATCGAGTATCCCAACTACAAGTACAGGCCGCAGAAGAAGCAGACGCGGTCGCCGGGATCGCTGAAGCAGAACCAGGACGCAGACAGCTGCGAAGCTAAAAATGACAACACAAATCCCAACAACAACAGCACTCTTGCAATTAATGGAACATCCACCACTGCCGGTCGGAAACACAAAAGATCTACCTCAACATGTCAATCTGGTTCGGTTTCGAAACAATTGAAAAACAACGATTCGGGTGATACTTCCTCGTCCAAGCCCAAGGCGTACGACGTGAAGGCTCCGCTCCACGTGCTGGAGCAGGACAATCCCGTGGATATTATATTACCCTCAGCCGATAATCTGTTAAGCTACCAATCATCTGAATATTTACCTCTAAGCACGAATCACAGCAATGTCGATTGCGATGTACACTCAGACCTAAGCTCAGGTCCCTTGGAATCGATTTCCAACAATCCGCGGGAGAACCTCTCCGAGGTCGTTTACAAGTATATCCGTCTGCCCATGTTCATGAGTCCCTTCGCCAACGAGGACGACTCCCAGCTGGAGGTCAACACATCGTCTCACAGCCACCCACACAACCAGTCCGATCCGACCGCTGGCTTACAAGCCAACATCTCCGGCATCAGTCCCATGAGCGGACAGGAAGAGACGGCCGAGGAAGTGTTGCGGGGCATGCCCTATTACGGCAACCTCTTGGAGGTGAGTTCTCAAAACGACAGCGCCGGGACCGTTGGCAGCCACATTCTAAATGTGGTCAAGGGCAACCTTCTGGAAGGCCACAACCCCAACCTCGTCGGCGAGCCCGTGTTCGACTCCGAGGAGAACATTGTGAACGATGCCAACTTGCATTCGGCCAGCCATCAAATAACTCCATATGTGCCTGATCAACACGACTGCTTCGCCGAGGATTGCGGCGGCGGCGGCGACAGCTCCTCGCATCACGTGGAATTCGCTGTGGTGCAGCCGCAGACCGTCACCATGAACATTGAGATACACAACAACTCACTCTCATACGGCGGGGCGGATGGCGGGCACACATTCCAGACCGACGATTTCAACCCAATGCCGTCGACCGCCGAGGACAGCGACTGCAGCATCCTGACCGCCGACCACTCGCCCCAGATCGGCTTTTGCAACGGCAGCTTCGTGGAGGCGGACACCATCGTGAACGCTTGCACATCATACACCACCCAAGACTATACCGGAAATGTAATTGAAACACACAATGATCTCAACTACGCCGCACACGATAACAACGGAGCTCTCCTAGCTTATACATTAGAGGACTTGCCGCCTCAGCCAACCGGAAGTCATTTAGAGTTTAACACTAACAAGTACGGGTTTGCAAATTATTACAAAATGTGAGAGATGTATTTAAGTTTTGTGTAATTTATAACTAATCTAATTGTACGTTTATAATTTTACACCAAATTATATATATATATATATACTATATATTCCATAAATTCTATATACAAACAACAACAGCAAAATGAATGAAACAAAAAAACGAGAATAAATGCTTTGCATTGAAAATATTTACGATGAAAGTGTTTAACTGAACTGCGTAGAACAGCCAGAATCGAATCGGGAGCGGGTTCACTGCCACTTGACCTTGCCTAATCAACAGAAATCAGACAGTTAAAACAGAGCTTTCAGGTTGGGGGTTGCGAAGTATCTACATATGTTTATTTACACGTACACATATTATATATTTTTACATAAATAATTATTGGTGGTCGCTCTGCAACAGGAATCGACGAACAGAACAGGAGATACAGCATACGGCCGAAGTACGGCACAACGAAATCATAATCCAGACAGTAAACTAGTATACATTCGTTTCACTTTCCGAGCGCAGACTTGACGGCAAATTACAAGGTGCTCGCCTCGATATGTGGGATGTTGTGCAGGCCAGTGTCGGGGTTCGACCAGTAATAGTAGGGAGCGCCCTGGCTAAAGCAGAACTTCATGTCCAAAGTCTCGCCATGATCCACATAGTACATGAGATAAAAGTTGCACATTTCGTCCTCATTCGTGGGACTGTGAGTGTTTAATTAACGAGACTTAGACCCCATTCAATCTGAATTCATAGCCTCATTTACTCACCCGACTTTGGTGACGCGATTACGGGTGCTCTGCAAGGTGCAACGCACGGCAATCGTGTCTCCTTCGACGATGGGCTCAGTGCTGCTTGCGTTGTAGAACATTTGCGGCGTGAGCGGGTCGCGCTTGCCAAGCTGCAGCCATTCCTGCACGCCATCGCTGTTCGATCGGACCCTGTAGCCCGAAACCACCTTCCCCAGGCCGTGGGTATGAACCCGATATGCGAACGGATGCAGTACCTTTTTCTCATTTATTTCGCAGGCCGTTTCCAGATGCTCCGTTTTCATGGCTGGGATCGCACCGTCGGTGCCCAGTAACAGTGTTCCGGCCAACTTCTTTCGCCTGCCAATGAACGAGTATGTTTATAAAATAAAATACAAATTGTTAAAGTAACTTACGGCTCCTCTGTGTAGTCCAGGAACACACCGGAGTCATCAGTTGAACCGTCTATAGGGAAATATACAGATATATAAAGTTTGTTTTATTAGATACACTTAGGCATTTCTTACTCACCCTTGAATTTGCCAATGTGGGCATAATGGACTTGTAGTACCAAGTACTTGATCGGTGAGTCTTTGCCAACCTTGAAGCCAACTCCCGGGGGCAAGTTTAGCTTTTGAGCGTCTCTCGCCCAAGCGTAAATTATCTAAGTAAAGAAAAATGATGGTATTAAAGCCGTGTCAATGATGTTACTTGTAGGCGATTAGGCGATTATTATCAAGGCGAGGTCAGGTCTGAAACACATTAGAAGATGACTTTCTACAATTTCGAGCTGTCATATGTCAGATAGTGCTTCTTCTCGAAAACAATTCTAAATTTTTGTATTCTGTCCAGAACTGTCAAAAAATTGTAGCGCCGCAAGCGCAGACTTCCAGATAAAAATGTGTGTTTCTACTTGCTGCAAGTGTAACGAGATAATAAGGTCACGGGCAATCTGCAGCCTGGGCAAGTCATACCATCCGCTGCACTTTACCTGCCAGGACTGTGGCGGGCAGGTGGAGCCGTCGGACTACTACGACATTAAGGACAAGGTGGTGTGCAGTGAGTGCTATCTGAGCAAGCATGCCGAAAAGTGCTCCACCTGCCGGGCCCCGATCGTGGGGCGTACCGTGGTCTCCATGGGTCGGAAGTGGCACGAAAAGTGCTTCCGGTGCTTGAGCTGCAGCAAGCCGCTGCTCTCATCGTCCTTCTACGAAGTAAATGGATTTCTCTTCTGCAAGGAACACTTCCGGGAGCAGTTCTCGTCCCGCTGTGCCGGCTGTGGAGAGCCCATAGGTAGGCGAGCTGTGGTTGTCCTGAATACTAAGTGGCATGTCGAGTGCTTCAGATGCCACGTCTGCTGCCGACGGCTCAGTGGCTCTGAGTTCAGCGTACATGACGGACGTCCCCTTTGCCCGAAGTGCCAGGAATGGGCGGTCAACCTTAGTCGCCAAATTTTGCGGTGCAAACAAAATCGTCGCTTATCTGAAGAGTTTCGTACCTGAGAGTTTGAATGTGGTCCACAGGGACTGGCCGAGTCCTCGTCCGAAGCTCGGTTCATCTCTCCGCAGTTCCTGTTGTGTGCAATTATTATTAGTAATTAGTAACCTGTGAAGCTTTTCCGGGAATCTAAACTAACCAAGTGGTCCTTGTAGTTCCGGGCTCGCCGCATCCATAGAGCAACATGTGGTGGGCCGTGTTCATGGTGGCATTGGGATTGAATCCAACTGAATTTTGGGAATATATGCAGTTAGAACATTCTTTCAATGAATATATAAAAGAACCCTCGAGTCAGGGACGTACCAATATAGTAAGTAGTAGTTGGATCGACTTTGATGGGGGTGCACAAGTACAGATCCGGCTAAATTTGGTTAGTATTCAAAATACACACATATCATAGGATTAGTAAAGTAATATTCATTATTCGAAGGGCCAAGAGCGTGGCCTTCGCGATCCTCGACAATACAAAGGCAGATGTGTAAGTATCCAGAGCGCAGGTTCCACGAAGCGGCGCAATCTACAGGTTTCACAATGGGAACGCCGTGGGTGTCGCGAATCGTGTGTGTATATGCCGAGGCAATACTCCAACCATATGGTTACATTTTGCAGGGAACACAAAGATTTTATAATAGATCCCCTTAGATATTTGCGAGTTTTTATTTACTTTCCGTATGTTTGCACATTAATTATAGTAAAATTCATGCGCATAGGTGCAAAACTAAAACTCGTCCTCCTCTGGATACACAATCCATACGGTAATATATACATTTACATGTTACTCACAGTTTGCGGGGAAACCTTGGGCATCAGGAAAGGAAAGGAGCCCGTGATGCCTGTTGCCGAGTTGGTTTCGAGATTCCGTTGGTTCCTCGAGCTCTGGTACATCCCCTGCTCCACAAGGCCGTTCACAGCTATCAGGCTGATAAGAATATATCCAAGAGAAAGGTGCATTCCCGAAATGGATATTCGAGACATTTTGGAATCTCTGTATTTATGCCTCAACTTGTAATGAGAAAACAAAAAGAAAAACCTTCCTATGTGGAAGAGAATACGCGTTTTATTGTTCTCTATCCCACACGTAGGCTCGGCCCAGAATCGATAGTCAGAATAATCGATTGTCAGAGCCAGTCTGAGATGCCAGGGCTGCGAGCATATTTTGACCGGTCGATTTCAAAATAAAAGAAAAAAAATAGTTTCCGCTTTTAAATATATATAAAATATGCAAAAAATCTAACTTCTGGGAGAGCAGTAATTTTAATTCTGAAAGCGGTTCTAAAAATTAAAATGAATGAAAATTTTTTTTTTGTTTTTGTTACTAATTAACAAAGATATTAAAGGCATTAATTTCAATTCGGAAAGCGGCAGTGTGATAGTTTTGATCAGGTTAATAAATCTGCATACCAAATTTAAAATGCAAAAAAATGAAAATTTTTGCCAATTTTCTGAAATTTTAATGATGTAACCCCTTTTAAAAATTGCAAAAATTGGCTAAAATTATAAAAAAAAATTTGGTAATGGTTTTTGTTACTAATTAACTAAGATTTTAAGGGTAAATCGGAGAGTATACGAATTTTGGCAATCATAGGCTTTTTGGCCGTTTCATGGCGTTCAGAAAACGGGCAAATTTGCATTTTTCCATACATATTTACGTTTGTTTTTATACATTTTTTTATACAAACCAAAGTCTAAAAATTCAATAACTAGGCTAAAAATGCATTAATTTCAATTCGGAAAGCGGCAGTGTGATAGTTTTGATGAGGTTAATAAATCTGCATGCCACAATAAAAATGTAAAAAAATGAAAATTTTTGTCAATTTTCTGAAATTTTAATGATGTAACCCCTTTTAAAAATTGCAAAAATTGGCTAAAATTATCAAAAAAATGTTGTTATTTTTTTGTTACTAATTAACTAAGATTTTAAGGGCGAATCGGAGAGTATACGAATTTTGGCAATCATAGGCTTTTTGGCCGTTTTATGGCGTTCAGAAAACGGGCAAATTTGCATTTTTCCATACATATTTACGTTTGTTTTTATACATTTTTTTATACAAACCAAAGTCTAAAAATTCAATAACTAGGCCAAAAATGCATTAATTTCAATTCGGAAAGCGGCAGTGTGATAGTTTTGATCAGGTTAATAAATCTGCATACCACATTTAAAATGTAAAAAATTGAAATTTTTAGCCAATTTTCTGAAATTTTAATGATGTAACCCCTTTTAAAAATTTCAAAAATTGGCTAAAATTATCAAAACAATTTTGTTATTGTTTTTATTACTAATTAACTAAGATTTTAAGGGCTAATCGGAGAGTATACGAATTTTGGCAATCATAGGCGTTTTGGCCATTTTATGGCGTTCAGAAAACGGGCAAATTTGCATTTTTCCATACATATTTACGTTTGTTTTTATACATTTTTTTATACAAACCAAAGTCTAAAAATTCAATAACTAGGCTAAAAATGCATTAATTTCAATTCGGAAAGCGGTCCTGTGATAGTTTTGATCAGGTTAATAAATCTGCATACCACATTTAAAATGTAAAAAAATGAAAAATTTTGCCAATTTTCTGAAATTTTAATGATGTAACCCCTTTTAAAAATTGCAAAAATTGGCTAAAATTATCAAAAAATTTTGTTATTGTTTTTGTTACTAATTAACTAAGATTTTAAGGGCAAATCGGAGAGTATACGAATTTTGGCAATCATAGGCTTTTTGGCCGTTTTATGGCGTTCAGAAAACGGGCAAATTTGCATTTTTCCATACATATTTACGTTTGTTTTTATACATTTTTTTATACAAACCAAAGTCTAAAAATTCAATAACTAGGCTAAAAATGCATTAATTTCAATTCGGAAAGCGGCAGTGTGATAGTTTTGATCAGGTTAATAAATCTGCATACCACATTTAAAATGTAAAAAAATGAAAAATTTTGCCAATTTTCTGAAATTTTAATGATGTAACCCCTTTTAAAAATTGCAAAAATTGGCTAAAATTATCAAAAAAATTTTGTTATTGTTTTTGTTACTAATTAACTAAGATTTTAAGGGCGAATCGGAGAGTATACGAATTTTGGCAATCATAGGCTTTTTGGCCATTTTATGGTGTTCAGAAAACGGGCAAATTTGCATTTTTCCATACATATTTACGTTTGTTTTTATACATTTTTTTATACAAACCAAAGTCTAAAAATTCAATAACTAGGCTAAAAATGCATTAATTTCAATTCGGAAAGCGGCAGTGTGATAGTTTTGATCAGGTTAATAAATCTGCATACCACATTTAAAATGTAAAAAAATGAAAAATTTTGCCAATTTTCTGAAATTTTAATGATGTAACCCCTTTTAAAAATTGCAAAAATTGGCTAAAATTATCAAAAAAATTTTGTTATTGTTTTTGTTACTAATTAACTAAGATTTTAAGGGCGAATCGGAGAGTATACGAATTTTGGCAATCATAGGCTTTTTGGCCATTTTATGGCGTTCAGAAAACGGGCAAATTTGCATTTTTCCATACATATTTACGTTTGTTTTTATACATTTTTTTATACAAACCAAAGTCTAAAAATTCAATAACTAGGCTAAAAATGCATTAATTTCAATTCGGAAAGCGGCAGTGTGATAGTTTTGATGAGGTTAATAAATCTGCATACCAAATTTAAAATGTAAAAAAATGAAAATTTTTGTCAATTTTCTGAAATTTTAATGATGTAACCCCTTTTAAAAATTGCAAAAATTGGCTAAAATTATCAAAAAAATGTTGTTATTTTTTTTGTTACTAATTAACTAAGATTTTAAGGGCGAATCGGAGAGTATACGAATTTTGGCAATCATAGGCTTTTTGGCCGTTTTATGGCGTTCAGAAAACGGGCAAATTTGCATTTTTCCATACATATTTACGTTTGTTTTTATACATTTTTTTATACAAACCAAAGTCTAAAAATTCAATAACTAGGCTAAAAATGCATTAATTTCAATTCGGAAAGCGGCAGTGTGATAGTTTTGATGAGGTTAATAAATCTGCATACCAAATTTAAAATGTAAAAAAATGAAAATTTTTGTCAATTTTCTGAAATTTTAATGATGTAACCCCTTTTAAAAATTGCAAAAATTGGCTAAAATTATCAAAAAAATGTTGTTATTTTTTTTGTTACTAATTAACTAAGATTTTAAGGGCGAATCGGAGAGTATACGAATTTTGGCAATCATAGGCTTTTTGGCCGTTTTATGGCGTTCAGAAAACGGGCAAATTTGCATTTTTCCATACATATTTACGTTTGTTTTTATACATTTTTTTATACAAACCAAAGTCTAAAAATTCAATAACTAGGCCAAAAATGCATTAATTTCAATTCGGAAAGCGGCAGTGTGATAGTTTTGATCAGGTTAATAAATCTGCATACCACATTTAAAATGTAAAAAATTGAAATTTTTAGCCAATTTTCTGAAATTTTAATGATGTAACCCCTTTTAAAAATTTCAAAAATTGGCTAAAATTATCAAAACAATTTTGTTATTGTTTTTATTACTAATTAACTAAGATTTTAAGGGCTAATCGGAGAGTATACGAATTTTGGCAATCATAGGCGTTTTGGCCATTTTATGGCGTTCAGAAAACGGGCAAATTTGCATTTTTCCATACATATTTACGTTTGTTTTTATACATTTTTTTATACAAACCAAAGTCTAAAAATTCAATAACTAGGCTAAAAATGCATTAATTTCAATTCGGAAAGCGGTCCTGTGATAGTTTTGATCAGGTTAATAAATCTGCATACCACATTTAAAATGTAAAAAATGAAAATTTTGCCAATTTTCTGAAATTTTAATGATGTAACCCCTTTTAAAAATTGCAAAAATTGGCTAAAATTATCAAAAAAATTTTGTTATTGTTTTTGTTACTAATTAACTAAGATTTTAAGGGCAAATCGGAGAGTATACGAATTTTGGCAATCATAGGCTTTTTGGCCATTTTATGGCGTTCAGAAAACGGGCAAATTTGCATTTTTCCATACATATTTACGTTTGTTTTTATACATTTTTTTATACAAACCAAAGTCTAAAAATTCAATAACTAGGCTAAAAATGCATTAATTTCAATTCGGAAAGCGGCAGTGTGATAGTTTTGATGAGGTTAATAAATCTGCATACCACATTAAAAATGTAAAAAAATGAAAATTTTTGTCAATTTTCTGAAATTTTAATGATGTAAACTCTTTTAAAAATTGCAAAAATTGGCTAAAATTATCAAAAAAATGTTATTTTTTTTGTTACTAATTAACTAAGATTTTAAGGGCGAATCGGAGAGTATACGAATTTTGGCAATCATAGGCTTTTTGGCCGTTTTATGGCGTTCAGAAAACGGGCAAATTTGCATTTTTCCATACATATTTACGTTTGTTTTTATACATTTTTTTATACAAACCAAAGTCTAAAAATTCAATAACTAGGCTAAAAATGCATTAATTTCAATTCGGAAAGCGGCAGTGTGATAGTTTTGATCAGGTTAATAAATCTGCATACCACATTTAAAATGTAAAAAATTGAAATTTTTAGCCAATTTTCTGAAATTTTAATGATGTAACCCCTTTTAAAAATTTCAAAAATTGGCTAAAATTATCAAAACAATTTTGTTATTGTTTTTATTACTAATTAACTAAGATTTTAAGGGCTAATCGGAGAGTATACGAATTTTGGCAATCATAGGCTTTTTGGCCATTTTATGGCGTTCAGAAAACGGGCAAATTTGCATTTTTCCATACATATTTACGTTTGTTTTTATACATTTTTTATACAAACCAAAGTCTAAAAATTCAATAACTAGGCTAAAAATGCATTAATTTCAATTCGGAAAGCGGTCCTGTGATAGTTTTGATCAGGTTAATAAATCTGCATACCACATTAAAAATGTAAAAAAATGAAAATTTTTGTCAATTTTCTGAAATTTTAATGATGTAACCCCTTTAAAAATTGCAAAAATTGGCTAAAATTATCAAAAAAATGTTGTTATTTTTTTGTTACTAATTAACTAAGATTTTAAGGGCGAATCGGAGAGTATACGAATTTTGGCAATCATAGGCTTTTTGGCCGTTTTA